TTGTCATCATGTGTCTTTGGTCAGTGCCATCTAATATGTCAATACTGTGCATCATTTCTACAGACTAAGACTAGACTGAAACGGAATGAATTACGTCAATTTATATTGAAATCGTTGTGGAATGTGTAGAATTGATTTGCCATAGGAAAGCACTGAACAATAATATCGTATAAATCATACAATCAGGTGTTTAATGGAGTAAACGGGGATGTTACAAATACATAAATAGATCGCTATGACATGGGCGTGTATGGTAAGTCTGTGTTAGGTAACATTAATACCTTAATTACTGTTTTACTGCAATAGGGTATTGTTTTACAATGAACACAGAGGTGCTGTTTTCAAATAATGGGACATTCACCTTGGTCTTCCTTGTTCTTTCTATCAACAACCCACGTATTTCTAAGTCAATCAACCTGTTATTGTAATATGAAACGTGTTTTAACAAGTGAAGTCTACACTCCAGGGGATGATTGCATATAATGAATTGAAATGAATAATATAATTTGTACGTATTTGCAATATTTACGCAACAACAATCAGACATGCCTTCACCGAAAAATACTTGCTTTTCTACATTTTGCTATATTTAAACTTTCCTGTTTTTACCTATAATTTGTGAAGTTCTGATTTTAAAAGAAAATGAGAGAACAATAATGCATTCGCTAACATTTACATATTTACATTTACATATCCGGTTTGTTGTTGTCAGATGAAACCCCTTTCCAAAAATATATCTTTATTTATATTAAGTCATATGATAAAATCTTTGGCACATGAAGACACTCGAAAACAATTTTCACTATTTATTACACATGTATTTCATGCAGAACCCAACATATTTCATGCTAAAGTGAGACCAAATTCTTACACTGAGAATTAAACGCTTTCATTATGAACTCGTCATGTAGGCTTATAGCACGTCTCTAACGGTAGCATAAGCATATCCTTTGTTACGGTATTCATAACATAGGATAGTGCGACAACCTCGTAAACAGAAACAACATACTGACACGTCTGACAGAATCTTCATTTACACTCAAATTAGTTAAAATGAGGACAAACTAAGGATGAAATAAGGGCCTAAGTCTTGGGCTTCCAAGTAAATAATGCAAGTTAGTGGATGAATTAATTGATAAGGCTATTTCATGGTTTATTTTCGCTGTTGATGTCAATGTGATTCTTCCGTGTTCTATCTGGCTTTCTTAATAACGTACTACACAACAGGTTATTATTCATGAATTTTCTTGATTTCTGTAAAAGGAAAAAGTCAATCAACGGAAATATTAACCGCAGTGGTTCATAAGGCATCATTAAAGATACTTATTGTTTCCATAGTGTAATGGTGTATGTTTTGGTAAGGGTGGGACATAGAGGAGAGAGTGTGTGTATGAGGGGGTTGGTGCCTTTTGTCCCAAAGGATCCACATCTTGGGGGATGAGGTTGGAGGGAATTGTGGTAGGTAGCGGAGGGGTGAAGGTATGTATAACATTAAACATACACGCACATAAAAAAGAAAACGAAGAAAAAAAATCAAACTCATGCCAGTTATCGAATCCTCTTATTGTTCAATCAATCAAACAGTTAACCCATCATCGCAATGACAAACAAGCTATTCAAAATCCGTTTAGGACTCTGTGGCGGGATCTTCAGATAATGGACTATGGTGATATTCGGGATCTACAGCCAATGTGGGACGGTATTAGGAGTCTACAATTTGAAATTGTATTTGATCTTCAGTCAATGGACGATGTAATAGGGACCTTCAGACAATGGATTATATTATTTGGAATCTAGAGGCAGGGACCGTGGTATTCGGGATCGATAGACAATGTATCAAGGTATTTAGAATATAAAGCAACGTGGGATCTATGGACGATAGACTATAGGATCCAGGATCTACAATCAATGTATGGGAAACTTATTATGGAACTAAAACATTGGGCAGTTGTATTTGGGATCGATCGATAAATGTACATGATATCGGAAACATTTGACAGTGGATCAAGATGTTTGATATATCTAAAGACAATAGATCATGATTGGTTATGGCATTTTTGGATCTACAGTCAAAGGACAAATGATACGGAATGAACATTCAATGCAGAATGATATTTGTGATCATCTTCATACAGTTAACCACGATATTCGGAATCTACGATCAAATGAAACCAGTATTTGAGACATACACACAGCCAAGTATGGTGTGTTCGAGATTTACAGATAATGGTCCATAGTATTGAAGACCTCCAATCAAAGGGTAATGGGATTGGAAATTTGCAGACAACGGAAAAAGTGTTTATTGAAAATGTTTTAATTCATATATCGACAGTCAAAGGAATAGGTAAACAGATATAAAATAAATGAATATAAATGTTAGATCACACGTGTCTATTGATAAGGTAGCATATGTAGTTAACGGACAAGGGTTGCCACTGATGGACTTTTAGCCTTTGAAGTTTTCGGTAACTTGCATGCCCTAAGTGTCTTTGATGAATCCTAGAAGGACGAATCAACTCTATGATGCATTTTAACTCACTACATGGTTCTACTGTATCTTATTCCAAACATTTATTGAAATGTGTTTTTCGCTTGTGTGTCGTACTTGGTACTATTTTTAAAATTGTAGGTAGTAGAACTTGCTGGTAGTCCACTTAGACACCGGCACCCTGCATGTCACGTTTTAATTCACTCGAATAGTGATTTTCCCCGGCCACATTGAATATTCCTCGGTCACCTCTTAGGTTTCAAAATTAAGGCCCCTAGCATCACTGACGAATCATAGAAAGAAGAAACAGCTGTATGATGTAATTTGGCTCATTGTTCTGCTTAATTGTAACAAAGCTTGATCGCAACGTTAGTTCATTGGACAATGTAATTTGTTTTGTACAGACAATACTGTTCACCATCAACAGTACATATAAAATACACAATTTTACAGGGCATCATAGTCCAATGAACAATTATATGTAATGGACATATGTTTTACGATAAATATACTAACGAGAGATTTACATGTCATAGATAAAAAACTGACAGGATAATACGACATCATTATTCAAAGATATATTCAATGATATATATATGTGGTAAACTTAACAAAGCATTAAGCATCTGTAGTCAATGTAAGTTCCCTGGAAAAAACGGTGAACAATGTAGTACATATTGTTTCAACATACATGACATGATTTCAAAAAGTGGTTATTATATAGCTTATTAAGACAGGTACAAAATTTTACCAGTTTATTAAACGATACACACTTTATACTTGTTTGTTAACAAAACTGAATCATTTGGAGCTTGTTATTACTGCTAATGAATTGATCATGTCTTACAGATGTACGGAAAACCAAAAAGGGTCTGTGATATGTCAAAGTGGTGTTTGTTTCATTAACCTTTTAGCTGAAAGCTTATCAGATATGTGCAGAAGATAAGCAAAGCCATTGTAATATGGGCTGTATCCATGACGATCCCGAGGTCATAAATGATATTTATGGACGCCAGATGTCTCTGATTAAAATAAGACATTTGCTTAAGTTTTAACTCATAATTAACTTTTCTCAAATGTCCGTCATCTTATCAAAGGTTGTGCTTTTTGTGTGATTTAAAATCAAATGTTAAAATTAATAAAAAGAGGGAAATCCATTTGAATACACATTGGATTCATTCTTATAGTGTTTGAGAAAGGTATCCGAGTCATCCGGGAGGTAGAAACCAGAAACATATTAAAACACAATGATATTGATTATAAACAATGTAAAACTCTTCTCTTTGACATGTAAATCATATTCTAAATACTTTAAGTTTATTAAAATCTTATTTAAATTGAACTACCGTATTGAGAATGTTGATATAAACGAGATGCTGTATATTCGCGTTTCATCAAGCACAGAAAAAGTTTTAATTTCATCCTTACTGTAAGCACGGCAAATTGCCAAAAAATGATTATATAACTAAACCAATGGTTCTTCAGAAAAACAGATAAAGAGATAGGTAAGGAAAAACTCAATATAATAATAGGTGAAATGAAACAACAGAAAAATATCCAAATGAAAATGAAATCTCAATTCCAACTTATCAAATGATGTAATGATATACACAGAGACGATTGCAAAAACTCACAAGGAGAATAAGACGAGCAGTATAACCTGGGTAGGCGTATTTCACTTCATTTTTACGTTCGCACTAAAACAGAATGGATATCTGCGAATCTCATTTTCTGGCAATAGTAATGTAGTTAAAAATGGCCATAACCTGTATGCCACGTTTTAACTCGATCGGATTGTGACACGGCACAAGATATGTACATGAAATTGACGTTTTGCTAAAATTACCAGAAATATGAACTTCACGAATTTACCGAATCACGGGACTCGTGCACCTACCCATCTACATTTCGTATTAATTATTTCATCACTTTGAATTTTCCTCATTCGCCTCCTAGGTTTGAAATTTATGCTCGTAGCATCACTGACGAGTCCTAGAAGGAATTAACTGTATGATGCAGTTTAATTCATTGGTTGACACTACACTATTTTATCTAACAGTATTAATGTTATAGTTTGAAGGAATACATCAATATACCTTTTCTCAGGCAATTTCTCAGAGTGAGTATGAAAAGTATGACGTCAGGGATATTTTGCTTGAAATGAAAACTGTCCAAATAAATAATTATGATTATAGATCAAAATTAACCCTGAAAAGTATAACTAGCTTAATATTTATGCAATATTGATATTGAATTGTAAATAACACGAAAATATTAACTTGCCAACATAAAGAAAACTCAAATTCAATGAAATTATGACAAAAAAGTAACAAAAGAAAAAATGGCAAGGAGACTTCTGAAAAACACGGTGAGAATAAGACCAGGTGTTCCATAAAAGTATAGTTTAGAAAAGTCATTATATTTTGTTAGCATAAAAAACGTAATTGTACAGTTGTAACCCTAAGTGAATGTTGTAATGTTCATTTTTCAATGACACATCCAATAACTTTGTCTAATCGTTAAACTGAAAGTTGATTCCGGTTGCGGAGGCAGGACGGTTTCCATGTTCGAAACCAGCTGTCTCCGGCTGTGTGTTCGGGTTATCAGTATTATCATCGTTGGGGAAGCCTATCTTGCTTCTGAAAAAAAAACAGTTGGAAATTGTCTAACATGCTATTTGATAGTTGAACACAAAACCCGGTATGCTGAATATATGTGTTTAAACAGATTATGACTTGTTTATGTACTATTTCAGGAAATCAAAATAGAAAAAAAATTGTCTCACAGAACAACATTGCTAATGTATTTAGTTGTATTTAGTTGTATACCAATTAGCTGTTCTCATGGAGCCAACATTTCGTGATTTTCGATCAAAATGATCCAATGATATTTCAACAAATTAACATTTCGCGCTTCGGATTGAAAATGCCATCTAATACACACGTTTCATTACTTCACGAATTAAATCTCAAAGTAAATGTTCCGCGAAATAGCGAAAAAATCATGCCCACGAAATATTCAGATATGACGTATAATCTACATAGTTAAGTTAAATTTAACATATAGATATTACTGACTTCCATCACTCATTGAAGTAGATACATAGAGAATACATGGGAACTAAGTTAGTCATAATCAGATTGAGAAAAACGAAATCGTGATAAAATGTGACAGCAAAAAAAAAGCATCGGTCTCGCAAACATATTGAAAAATGAATTGTGTATATCAAAACGAGAAAACGTCATGAAAACTTTTTGAAGCGCGTGCCATATTAAGGATAGCGTATCTGTAACTACTTTATATGAAACTTTCTATTTGTATAACCAGCTATTGGTTAGTCACAGAACTGAAATTGTGGAGAATACTGATGAAATTTGCAATAAACAGCAATCAACTATTTATATTTGTGTGTGAACGTTGAATGCAATCTGACAAAATTGGAGTTCGAGTAAAAGCGACGAACAAAGGGAATATACATCTAGCAGTGAGATTGGATTCGGCAATGCAGGTTGCAAAGCGAGATGGGTGTCAGGTCCGTTTTTAATTTGTAATGACATATATTAATGCCTACATAAACACTTACTTGTGTTTGAAATGTTTGTACGTCAGCACTGATGTAACAGCTACGATGGATACAACACCAGCAACAGCACCGCCTATAATGGCACCCAAGGATTGATCTTCTTCTACAACTAAAAAAACCCAATAAAACAGGTTTATAAATTTTAATTGAATTTAGAGAGTTGAAAAAATGTGATTCATAATTCAAGAAATAAAGTATTAATACCTTACATTTAATTTTAAACGTTTCGCTTGCATGTGTATGTACATTAAATCAGCTTCTACATAGCTGACCATATAGTTTTAGTATAAATAATATATTAACGTATAGTTCATAGAGTTATTGTGTGTTCAATGTGATGCTTCGACAAACTTATTATCCTACAAAGACGAAATTTCCTGCTACACAGTAATGGTGATTTTAAATATTGCACAATAAACTCATTTAAATGCCATTTATAGCATCATGTTAACTCAAAATCTTACTTACTATTTTCTTCTTTGCTTTCATTTTGCAATGGTTCATTTGATGTTTGGGAAGTAATTGTTGATGGGATTGTCACAGTTACACTGTGCATTGCTGTGGAGGTTGATTGAAACGTCGAATCTCCATAATCAGTACTTGTTGAGGAAGGCTGAATGGTCACGGTCGCAGTGTCAATACTTGTTGAAGATACTTGAATAGTTCCAATTACACTTTCGGTACTTGAAGTTACTGTTGTTAAAATGTTTGTTGGCAGATATGTTGTTGTTGAGACAGTTACCGATGATGACGTTTGTACGTCCGTTCCTGTAACCGATGATGACGTTGATACGGTGGTGGGTACAGTTGTCGAAATGCACGATTCCTGTATGAAATAATTGGGTCTGTTTAATGCTTGAAGCATCACTGCATTTAAATGAGTTTTTTTTATTGGAATAATAATTTTAAAATATGGCTGTTACATGTAGAATAATGTGCATATGCCTGTCTATTTCAAATGCCTTGGACTTTTATTGTTTGTGAACAGGCAGACAAACAGAGACAGAAATGTGAAGTATTGAAATTAACCAATTATATAAGGTCACATACCAGTTGTGTACAGTTTAGGCTGTTTGCGTCACATTGGTAGCAGGTCGAATCATACGTTATTACAGTAGTATCATTGCTAAAGTTGATGCCGTCATTGGAAATGCTCACTAAGAATCCTTCACCAAATACTTGAGAAGAATCAGCTTCTCGACGACTTCGGAAAGAATCAGGGATCACGCACATACAGTTTATATCATTTAGATACGTCGCTGGGAATATCATAGTTTCACCGCTTAATTCCCATCGGTCAACGTACACCTGAATACATAAACGTAGATATCTTTGACAAATTGAACATGTTTGAATTACGTTGACATGAAAAGAACCAAGATGATTTGGGAAAACCCGAAAAGAAGCCATTGATATAATAGAAAAAAGGATAATGTTTTTAGAATGGAAAGTGTTTCATGCTTTACATAGGTGAACTCTCTTTTTTATATTAGAAGTAAACATTATACAAACTAAACCTATTTCACAGAATTATACAAATTAATATCAAATACATAAATGCAATATCTGAAGTTAATAAGGTCGGAAGTATGAAATAGCTGTCTGTGAGCAAACCATATAACACAAAGATATGACATAACACGTTTCAGTACCTACATTTCCCCTAAATCAACAGAATCATAAGTCAGTCTCATTACTGATAAACGGGGTTATAATGTAAATAAAAGAAATTGTTTGCGGTATTTGTAAGAAAACTAAGATCATGAAAAAGATATCAGAACTTGAACATTTTCATCGGGAGAAGAAAGTATTCAACTTGAGACATGGCAGAACTAGTAATAATCTATCGTGAGATATATGGCAGAACTAGTAATTATCTATCGTGAGACAGGTGCAGAACTAGTAATAATCTATCGTGAGATATATGGCAGAACTAGTAATAATCTATCGTGAGACAGGTGCAGAACTAGTAATTATCTATCGTGAGATATATGGCAGAACTAGTAATTATATATCGTGAGATATATGGCAGAACTAGTAATAATCTATCGTGAGATATATGGCAGAACTAGTAATAATCTATCGTGAGACAGGTGCAGAACTAGTAATTATCTATCGTGAGATATATGGCAGAACTAGTAATAATCTATCGTGAGACAGGTGCAGAACTAGTAATAATCTATCGTGAGACAGGTGCAGAACTAGTAATAATTTATCGTGAGATATATGGCAGAACTAGTAATTATCTATCGTGAGATATATGGCAGAACTAGTAATTATCTATCGTGAGACAGGTGCAGAACTAGTAATAATCTATCGTGAGACAGGTGCAGAACTAGTAATAATCTATCGTGAGATATATGGCAGAACCAGTAATTATCTATCGTGAGATATATGGCAGAACCAGTAATTATCTATCGTGAGATATATGGCAGAACTAGTAATAATCTATCGTGAGACAGGTGCAGAACTAGTAATAATCTATCGTGAGACAGGTGCAGAACTAGTAATAATCTATCGTGAGACAGGTGCAGAACTAGTAATAATCTATCGTGAGATATATGGCAGAACTAGTAATAATCTATCGTGAGACAGGTGCAGAACTAGTAATTATCTATCGTGAGATATATGGCAGAACAAGTAATAATCTATCGTGAGACAGGTGCAGAACTAGTAATAATCTATCGTGAGATATATGGCAGAACTAGTAATAATCTATCGTGAGATATATGGCAGAACTAGTAATAATCTATCGTGAGACAGGTGCAGAACTAGTAATAATCTATCGTGAGACAGGTGCAGAACTAGTAATTATCTATCGTGAGATATATGGCAGAACTAGTAATAATCTATCGTGAGACAGGTGCAGAACTAGTAATAATCTATCGTGAGATATATGGCAGAACTAGTAATAATCTATCGTGAGATATATGGCAGAACTAGTAATTATCTATCGTGAGATATATGGCAGAACTAGTAATAATCTATCGTGAGATATATGGCAGACTAGTAATTATCTATCGTGAGACAGGTGCAGAACTAGTAATTATCTATCGTGAGACAGGTGCAGAACTAGTAATAATCTATCGTGAGATATATGGCAGATCTATTAATTATATATCGTGAGATATTTGGCATATCTAGTAATAATCTATCGTGAGATATATGGCAGAACTAGTAATTATCTATCGTGAGATATATGGCAGAACTAGTAAATATCTATCGTGAGACAGGTGCAGAACTAGTAATAATCTATCGTGAGATATATGGCAGAACTAGTAATAATCTCTCGTGAGACAGGTGCAGAACTAGTAATTATCTATCGTGAGATATATGGCAGAACTAGTAATAATCTATCGTGAGATATATGGCAGAACTAGTAATTATCTATCGTGAGATATATGGCAGAACTAGTAATAATCTATCGTGAGATATATGGCAGAACTAGTAATTATCTATCGTGAGACAGGTGCAGAACTAGTAATAATCTATCGTGAGATATATGGCAGAACTAGTAATTATCTATCGTGAGATATATGGCAGAACTAGTAATAATCTATCGTGAGATATATGGCAGAACTAGTAATTATCTATCGTGAGATATATGGCAGAACTAGTAATAATCTATCGTGAGATATATGGCAGAACTAGTAATAATCTATCGTGAGACAGGTGCAGAACTAGTAATAATCTATCGTGAGATATATGGCAGAACTAGTAATAATCTATCGTGAGATATATGGCAGAACTAGTAATAATCTATCGTGAGATATATGGCAGAACTAGTAATTATCTATCGTGAGATATATGGCAGAACTAGTAATAATCTATCGTGAGATATATGGCAGAACTAGTAATTATCTATCGTGAGACAGGTGCAGAACTAGTAATAATCTATCGTGAGATATATGGCAGAACTAGTAATTATCTATCGTGAGATATATGGCAGAACTAGTAATAATCTATCGTGAGATATATGGCAGAACTAGTAATTATCTATCGTGAGATATATGGCAGAACTAGTAATAATCTATCGTGAGATATATGGCAGAACTAGTAATTATCTATCGTGAGACAGGTGCAGAACTAGTAATAATCTATCGTGAGATATATGGCAGAACTAGTAATTATCTATCGTGAGATATATGGCAGAACTAGTAATAATCTATCGTGAGATATATGGCAGAACTAGTAATTATCTATCGTGAGATATATGGCAGAACTAGTAATAATCTATCGTGAGATATATGGCAGAACTAGTAATAATCTATCGTGAGACAGGTGCAGAACTAGTAATAATCTATCGTGAGATATATGGCAGAACTAGTAATAATCTATCGTGAGATATATGGCAGAACTAGTAATAATCTATCGTGAGATATATGGCAGAACTAGTAATAATCTATCGTGAGACAGGTGCAGAACTAGTAATAATCTATCGTGAGATATATGACAGAACTAGTAATAATCTATCGTGAGATATATGGCAGAACTAGTAATTATCTATCGTGAGATATATGACAGAACTAGTAATAATCTATCGTGAGATATATGGCAGAACTAGTAATAATCTATCGTGAGATATATGGCAGAACTAGTAATAATCTATCGTGAGACAGGTGCAGAACTAGTAATAATCTATCGTGAGATATATGGCAGAACTAGTAATAATCTATCGTGAGATATATGGCAGAACTAGTAATAATCTATCGTGAGACAGGTGCAGAACTAGTAATAATCTATCGTGAGATATATGGCAGAACTAGTAATAATCTATCGTGAGATATATGGCAGAACTAGTAATAATCTATCGTGAGACAGGTGCAGAACTAGTAATTATCTATCGTGAGATATATGGCAGAACTAGTAATAATCTATCGTGAGATATATGGCAGAACTAGTAATTATCTATCGTGAGATATATGACAGAACTAGTAATTATCTATCGTGAGATATATGACAGAACTAGTAATTATCTATCGTGAGATATATGACAGAACTAGTAATTATCTATCGTGAGATATATGGCAGAACTAGTAATAATCTATCGTGAGATATATGGCAGAACTAGTAATTATCTATCGTGAGATATATGACAGAACTAGTAATTATCTATCGTGAGATATATGACAGAACTAGTAATTATCTATCGTGAGATATATGACAGAACTAGTAATTATCTATCGTGAGATATATGACAGAACTAGTAATTATCTATCGTGAGATATATGGCAGAACTAGTAATAATCTATCGTGAGACAGGTGCAGAACTAGTAATAATCTATCGTGAGACAGGTGCAGAACTAGTAATTATCTATCGTGAGATATATGACAGAACTAGTAATTATCTATCGTGAGATATATGGCAGAACTAGTAATAATCTATCGTGAGATATATGGCAGAACTAGTAATTATCTATCGTGAGATATATGACAGAACTAGTAATTATCTATCGTGAGATATATGACAGAACTAGTAATTATCTATCGTGAGATATATGACAGAACTAGTAATTATCTATCGTGAGATATATGGCAGAACTAGTAATAATCTATCGTGAGATATATGGCAGAACTAGTAATAATCTATCGTGAGACAGGTGCAGAACTAGTAATAATCTATCGTGAGATATATGACAGAACTAGTAATAATCTATCGTGAGATATATGGCAGAACTAGTAATAATCTATCGTGAGATATATGACAGAACTAGTAATTATCTATCGTGAGATATATGGCAGAACTAGTAATAATCTATCGTGAGACAGGTGCAGAACTAGTAATAATCTATCGTGAGACAGGTGCAGAACTTGAAATCTGTTATCATGAGATAGAACCAGATATATTGTATTCTGCTGAACAACCTTTCTCCAAGTTAAATTTGCCATGATTATAAACCGTACGTTGTGTGACAGATACCAGATCTATAGAACTGTCCTATGCCAAATTAAGTGTAGAACATTGTTAAAAAAAACAATAACTTTACAGGTGACATGATAACATATGCTGATTAATCGACCTATAAAATCAAGGGTTGAAATTCTGCAAAAAAAAATGATGTCAAAGTATTCCCCTGAAAGCATAACGAGAAAAAGAGTGTCGCACTTCTGCACTATAGTAATCATATGGTAGCCGAATTCTAGTATACCAAGCTACAATTGCATTTCAAAGAAAACCGTTCCTGATATGAACCTATATAATCCCTGTACCTATATTATTGGGAAAACGAAAACTTCTTCCATTAGTTTTCCCTATGTTTTTAGGATTATATAACAAGATGAACCAAAAGCATTACCTTTAGCGGCTGAGCTCGGCAAGTTAAGTTTAGGTTCAAAAAGTTGCTTCCAGAAATAAAGAAGTTCCTGCATGCCTTTTCGTTGATGGAACAAGTCGATCCCCCCGGCAGTACAACAGGTATAGAATCACGTTCCAATGAACAGTCGGAACCAAAGAAACCATCATGACAAATACAGAGTCCTGGAACCAAATTTTTATCAGCTCATTATTGCAGATCATTGTTTTCACTGATTAATCAGAGATCTAAGAGGAAGACGAAATGCAACTTCAATTTCTCGGTTAAATAAGATAATATTTATGAGCAATATGCCTAAATGAGAAATACAATAGTAAACTTTGATTATTGACCCATCCGTCCCCAGGTTTTCTGAGATTTTTAACAAACAAGACCATGAACTAGGGTATTGTACCGTAATGTACACACAGCAGTTGTCAGACCGATTCTTATCATCGTGTGTGCTCCCCAAAATAGCTATTGCTTCTCTAATTATACCTAGCATGGAGCTCACAATGGTATTGTCTGTCCATAGAGGAATGCTATTCTATTCCTCGGTAAGTGCATTGATCAACTCAAGTGTTCAATATAAGACAAATCGAGGATAAATGGTGGCAAATCAATAGGAACGATATTCTCGATTTCAAGAAAGAACTCCGTACACACTCTTGCAACGTGTGACCTAGCGTTATCAAGCTAATATTTACTGGGTCAGTAGGTGAGGTGCCCTAATATTCCTCCTTCATTCTATACAGCTATGTATATTGGATACAAAATATTTTAAAGAAATAAGGAAGTTTCTTTATCCAAACATTACCTATTGTAGCTGCAAAAGTAACATTTACATATTGTTCATCTTTATTGATTTCATATATCGAATATCATCTTTCTTTTAGATTTTAAGTAGAAATGTTCAAATTTTCTATTTGCTTGGATATTTCACAAATAAATCATATTTGTCTACATTCCAGTGTACCTTTTAAGCATAAGTCCATACATATTTCTGCCGTACCACCAATAAAAACAGAAAAAATTGGAAAAAACAAAAGAAAAGTTATCGTAAAATAATTTTGCCTCAAAATTTGAAAAAAATAGCACCGGCATTTGTAAAAATAAAATAACATCAGATATAAGCCCTACATAGGCATTCACGCGAAAACCTAATGCCGTATGTATGGTGTGAAAGGTAGGCTTCTGAAGAAACTTGTCATATACTGAAACTTGTTTTCACCAATAGAGGCCACAGGATCAGAAAAAATCCCTACAAAAACATTAAAGTGACGAATAAACAAGACCAACACTTTTACCTGAAAAGTTGCTCAAAATTTTAAGTAATGAATAAGAGGAGCATTTGAACAGATACGAAATGAATGTGCTCATCAACTACAGCACTATAGAAAGGCCCCATATATATTAAACCATAATATCGTCATGAACAAACTTTGAGCAACTTTAAAAAACAGGTGGTTGAACGAACATGGTCTCCGTTTCGGAGGACGTTTGTCGTAATTCGACTTGCGTATGAAAAAATGAACAAAAAAAAAACAAAAAACAAAAAAACGAGAAAACTACAAGGCATTATATATGAAATTTCACATCAATCGTACAAACGTTTCTTATGTATCTATAAGATAAACATTATTTAAGATGTATCGATAAAATTGTGCTTTACCGTGAGATAAATCTGCTTGCAGGACGATCGCTGATTATTTGAAATGGTTAGAATATACTAAACAATGATAAAAGATATATGTTAGAATTGTTGGTCAAAATATGCTAAGTGCATTAATCCAATCATACGTATGATCGATAAGTATTACATATATGTATTTTTTACTCACCGCTGGTACAATTTCCGTTTTCTGAACAATTATTTGGACAACTCATTTGCAGCAACTCGTCCAGAAACGTAGTACTATTACCATACGAACCATGTGTTGTTAAATTTTCGAAAAGCTTCGCTTCCACCAAACAACTGCTTTTCAATGCCTCTACCGTGTCTGTCAAAAAGACAGTATCTCCTGATATCTGATTAGAAAAAGAGCAAAGATCACGCATTGGATTTGGTATATGTACCATTTTTTCACATATCTAAGCAGCTCCTTCCTTTTATCTCGAATTACACTTTGCTATGTCAATCTCTATAGCTGGGAATTATGTTGAAAGAAATGGAACAATCATAATAACTCAAGCAGTTCAGAATTTACACACTTACTAAACGTTCTTTTAAAATTCAGTCATTTACGAAATTTATGTATGGAAATAATGCGCCACCTAATAGCTAGTTTCAAAGGTTATACTGGCCTTTTTGAAATTTGCTCTGCTGTATCCAACTTTTACATTTGTACTAAAAGTGCGATTCATATGTGTTTCTGTTTGTACAACTTTACAAGTCACTATTCAGGACTTTTACCTTGATATCATTAATGCAATTTCTAATTCCATCCTCGACAACATCATTCATCACTGCTACATAGTCTTTACAGGTATTCAACATGGGGTTATCATCCATTGTTTCCCGACATGCTTGTGCCGCTAGAGCTTCTGTCCAACCATTTGTCCATGTATAGTTCTTGAAAAGGTAAATATCGCAACCGATATATGCTGCATTATTAATGTCAAAACTGTTCGACATTGTTACATTGAACAATCTAAACGACTCTTATTTGGCCAACATTTTTTTTTCATAGCGACTTATCAACGGCATTGAGGCAACATGTTTATAACCTTCTGACGACCTCGTAACGACTAAGACAACCCTGGGAGTTTTGTTGAAGAATTTAAGAAGGAAGATGGTTAGAAGCCCTGACTCGAAACCATGTTACTATCTCAAATTTCTTTCATGGAATTTGACGTAACCCACGTATTTTGAGCTGATGGTACGCCAATACATGGCACAGGCTTTCAAAGGTCGGGGCTGGGGTGGGGGAAGGGGAATAGATTTTATGTTGAACTTTGATAAACATATATCAAGACATGATAGCCAAGACATTAGCCAGTTTTAAGAAAGATAAGGAACTTCGAGAAGACAAGAGATAACATACTGTTGCTGGTGATGAGAATAAAGAGGTAGACATAGATTTTATGTTGAACTTTGATAAACATATATCAAGTCTACCACATGCTCTCAGTTTTAAAACATTTTTTTACCATAGTTTCTAACTAGTATTATAGCCAAAATATTTAGTTAACTAACGCATGTCTCCTTGTGTAGACTCACTCAATATTAGTTTATACTCTAAATTTTTTAAACTCTGCTTTATTGGCATTCATATTATGATGCTTTCATTTCCTTGTAAGTAATAATTGTGTAATTTTACAGCCATATTTCATTGTTCTTAACCTCCCTCTGATGTTTATTTTTGATACCTTGACATTAAACTATATGCCATTTAACTCCTGCTTTTTACTTCCTTACTAATCTTACTAATGATACTCACCTCTTTGTGTCTGTTTTTGTATATACTATTTTTTTTGTCGCAAGAAAAGTGCTACAGCGCTAAAGTTTGCTCTTTATATCATGTGCAACGTAAAATAGAAAATCTTGTATCCTGATAGCTAATAACCAGAGATTGGTTCCTCAATTTTGTGCAAGGCGTCGTCTCTATTTTATAAGAAGAATGCAATAGACCCAGATATGTATCATTCTATCGAATATCTTTGGTGAACCAAAACACTAGTTAAAGATTAGCAAACGCCACGTTTGCATAAAAATCACCATTCATTTACCGCTAACTTTGTAGCCGAAGGGAGTGTAGAAGGCTGATTTATCAGGTAGAACAAAGAGCAACGAAAATGAGGCAAAAGAAAATGAAAAAAAAAGAAATAAAAAACGAACTAGATGAATTGTCATTGGTACCATTGGTCATTCGGTCGTTACCTCATTACATTAATTTATCAATCTTACGTACTTGAGACACATTCGCATACTCTTCATTCAAGACAACGTCAAATTTAGGTATTTCAAAGTCATCAGTTTCCCGCTTTTTACGACCCTTATCGCATTGTTGTACATAGCCAGCGGAACTCGTTCGTCCAGGACACGCAGTTATCAACGAAGTAATGTTGCAGTGTATATCTGAACTGAATGGCTGTGTATTGTCGGAAGCTACCGAACATCTACAATACTGTAATGGTGCTAGTTCTATATCTGATAATGAGCTGGTTGCGTTGAAGAGCGAGTTCCCATCCAAGATTTCATTGAATCTGAAAAAAAAGTTCACATGATACACAGAAGCAGTGTTTTTTTTATAAATGACTATTACCCATGCATAAGCAAGTCAGACCTTTTGCAATACGTGTAATTTTTGTATCACTGGAATATTGCCTTGAACATATATAACTGAATATTTAGACAAATACATCATAATCAATCAATGTGTTATTATTCTTAGCAGAGTGGAAAATAACATTCCTAAACTATCAAAATTATTCTCATAATACAAACATATATTTATCATATTCCAGGGGCCATATGGCTTTGTTATCCAAAATATAGAAACATAGAATAAATTTTCCCCCGTTTCTATATATTTAAAAACATGAAGTCCGTATGTTCTGACTGTTCTAACTTTGAACTTGTACGTTATTATTTTTTTTATCCAACCTAAAACAAGGCGAAATCTTGCACATGTTATATTCTATAAGCAGAGTATCTTGCGTACTATCTACCATAACGGAAATTTATGAAACGAGTCATACTAAAAACATAACTCATGTAATGAGAGTTATGAAACTGAAATCATGGTAATTATGTAAGAAATCATGATATGATTGTACCTCCAGTTTAATCCGAAATCCATAAAATCGGTGGTAACAGTGCCGTCCCTTTTCTTAAAATCATTTGTGATATCTCCATCTAAAAATCCGCACATTCCGGCTGATGATTTCCAGTCGGCAAGAGAGGGTTTAAGAGTAAATTGCCGAATAAATACTGATGATCCAGTTGTGTAGCTTATTGTGATCAATGTTCCGGATGGAAGTGTTATCTGAATAGTAGAAATAATCCATCCATTAAAGTAATACAAGAAAGATACATGTCTTGAGTTGTATAAGAGGTACACACGTGAATAGTGATATAAATTTAGAATATAGATACAGAAGATAATGAGGTAAGCTGCGTTATACAGATGTATCATCTCGTTTTCTCGTCAGTGATACTAAAGATCTAGATTCTGAAACCAAATTGATCAAAGTTATTGGACCGTAATATAAAATATAACAAAGTGCTGACTATATACATTATCACCTTTATCTTTATAGAGGATAATTACTATCATGGTTAAACAATATTCTCAGTAACATTGTAATAGATACCGTGTATTTTGTTCCACTTGATTCGACTGTCATACGAGTGTCATCACAGGCTCTCATCTCTATATATCTGTTGACATTAGCTGAACTTATCCAAGGCGTTTGTCCTACCATTTCCCGGCATAGGTTGATAATGAAAACAGAATCCTGGTTCCTTATTGCGACACCACAAATACACGAGCCCCATCCCCAATAACATCTATCAAACACAGCATGGACCTTAAAAAGAGGCACATGGGCTTTAACGGTCATCTGACCACAATGACCAATTAGTGATTTAACAGTAGCAGCAATAATAGCAGGAAGAGCTGACACAAACATATTTTTTAAAGTTTAGAGTATTTCAGCAGTAAAGGCAACCAGCACTCATCATTTCAATCAGTCTCCTTACATTCAAATTGCGGCCATATTGATTGAAAGACCGACCCGAACATAGCAACACTTGGTAGAGCCTATCTTAGTATCCTTTCAAATCAATTCCACCAGTGCAATTTGAGAAATGTATAATGTGGTTTTTTTTCAGGATGGCAACAATATTGGGTTTCGGATAACCCAGTTTGTCGGGAGAATCTCATGATTTCGTAAGGGAGGTTTCAGCTAAATCCAGTTGGTGAAACTTGAGAGGTTTAACCCTTCTCTAACAGTGCCACCTATTTCAAACTCAATGGCAACAGTAGAACTTGAGAAGCTTAATTTTTATCAACCTGCATCATTTGAAGTCCTATGTTAACGAGTTTGTCCATCAGTTGACAACATTTTGCACGAAAATCGTGACATGTTAACACCATATGTTGAGGATACATGAATGTTTTCTATGTAGAAATAGAAAATTCAAAATAGGTCGATTGAAATCATCACGTTTGTCATGTTCGTGTTGGTTTCGTTGTATGAATGTTAGACATTAGCGACTTATATAGAAGTGTCTGCCCTGTCCTAGACTTCCAGCTCCGATTATTATATACGATGGACGTGATTGTAAGACTTGAGTATGAAATGTGATGCACAGAGATATACAGGGACTGCATGGCAGTGTTACCGACAAAGACATCAGAAGAGGAACTCTAACGAAAGCATTGCCGCAAGTTTCAGAGGACTAGCGCTACAGGTATGATGGATCGACACACCTATGTTGAGGTATGAGGACTTTGGCCAGGTTGAGTATGTGACTCTGACTGTAGCTATATCGAAGATATTTACTGAAATCTCCTCGACACCCTATTTGTTAACACACAGAGTTAATATAGGATTATAATGACGCGGTTTTTACGTCAGAGTTTGACCTGTATAATCCAGGAACTGTCTAACGCGGCTAATTGAAACGTGTGTTGTGAACCATTATCAGTTAACATAGCGTGTTGACTGGTCTTACAGATTTTGGTTTGGAGAGTATCTGGCTGTGAGGAGAACCCACAGGAATTGTCTGAAAACCAATTTGTCGGTGGCTTTGCTTAATTAACCACGAAAAACCGTACGATCGTGGATTATACTCCATATGAATCGTCAATATCATAAACATTTTTAGATCCCAATGAAGCTATTGAAACCATGCTTAATTGTTAAAAATCTTCACTTACCCGTATAGGTAATATTTCATGCTTGAACAGTACGTACTCTCCATATTGTTGAAATGACATGTATCTATAATCAAAATTATCAAATACAATGATAGACGTGGTGATAAAAGAACAAGAAAATACTAACATGTCAACATTATCATAATCCAAACTCAAATTCATCTACATTACTACATAAATAGCATTGATCATTAATATCTTCAAAATGTTAACGTCAGATTGCCTTGTTAAAATTGAAGTATTCCCATTAGGATCCGATATATCAGTTTACAACATCAGATACGTGTAAAGCAGCCTATTGTTTGTAGACTGTGATAACCATTGTGTTAATCCTCTTTGATTTATACATGAACATGTAGCCTGTGTCAAGTATCCGGATATTTGTTAATTCAAAACTGAACAACGATTACCCATGAATTCCTACAATATAGACATAACACATAACGTCTGCCCAGAGTCTGGATATTTAAATCAGTCAAGTCTGAACTGTCATTAGTGTCCGAATATTTGGATCAGTCAAAACTGAACAACCTTTTACCCCTTGATTCCTATATATACTATCTCTCCAGTGTCCGAATATTTGGATCAGTCAAAACTGAAAACCTTTTACCCCTTGATTCCTATATATACTATCTGTCCAGTGTCCGAATATTTGGATCAGTCAAAACTGAACAACCTTTTACCCCTTGATTCCTATATATACTATCTCTCCAGTGTCCGAATATTTGGATCAGTCAAAACTGAAAACCTTTTACCCCGTGATTCCTAAATATACTATCTGTCCAGTGTCCGAATATTTGGATCAGTCAAAACTGAACAACCTTTTACCCCTTGATTCCTATATATACTATCTGTCCAGTGTCCGAATATTTGGATCAGTCAAAACTGAACAACCTTTTACCCCGTGATTCCTATATATACTATCTGTCCAGTGTCCGAATATTTGGATCAGTCAAGACTGAACAACCTTTTACCCCGTGATTCCTATATATACTATCTGTCCAGTGTCCGAATATTTGGACCAGTCAAGACTGAACAACCTTTTACCCCGTGATTCCTAAATATACTATCTCTCCAGTGTCCGAATATTTGGATCAGTCAAAACTGAAAACCTTTTACCCCTTGATTCCTATATATACTATCTGTCCAGTGTCCGAATATTTGGATCAGTCAAAACTGAACAACCTTTTACCCCGTGATTCCTATATATACTATCTCTCCAGTGTCCGAATATTTGGATCAGTCAAAACTGAACAACCTTTTACCCCGTGATTCCTATATATACTATCTGTCCAGTGTCCGAATATTTGGATCAGTCAAAACTGAACTACCTTTTACCCCGTGATTCCTATATATACTATCTGTCAAGTGTTCGAATATTTGGATCATTCAAAACTGAACAACCTTTTACCCCGTGATTCCTATATATACTATCTGTCCAGTGTCCGAATATTTGGATCAGTCAAAACTGAAAACCTTTTACCCCTTGATTCCTATATATACTATCTGTCCAGTGTCCGAATATTTGGATCAGTCAAAACTGAACAACCTTTTACCCCGTGATTCCTATATATACTATCTGTCCAGTGTCCGAATATTTGGATCAGTCAAAACTGAAAACCTTTTACCCCTTGATTCCTATATATACTATCTGTCCAGTGTCCGAATATTTGGATCAGTCAAAACTGAACAACCTTTTACCCCGTGATTCCTATATATACTATCTGTCCAGTGTCCGAATATTTGGATCAGTCAAAACTGAAAACCTTTTACCCCTTGATTCCTATATATACTATCTGTCCAGTGTCCGAATATTTGGATCAGTCAAAACTGAACAACCTTTTACCCCGTGATTCCTATATATACTATCTGTCCAGTGTCCGAATATTTGGATCAGTCAAAACTGAAAACCTTTTACCCCGTGATTCCTATATATACTATCTGTCCAGTGTCCGAATATTTGGATCAGTCAAAACTGAACAACCTTTTACCCCGTGATTCCTATATATACTATCTGTCCAGTGTCCGAATATTTGGATCAGTCAAAACTGAAAACCTTTTACCCCTTGATTCCTAAATATACTATCTGTCCAGTGTCCGAATATTTGGATCAGTCAAAACTGAACAACCTTTTACCCCTTGATTCCTATATATACTATCTCTCCAGTGTCCGAATATTTGGATCAGTCAAAACTGAACAACCTTTTACCCCGTGATTCCTATATATACTATCTCTCCAGTGTCCGAATATTTGGATCAGTCAAGACTGAACAACCTTTTACCCCGTGATTCCTATATATACTATCTCTCCAGTGTCCGAATATTTGGATCAGTCAAAACTGAAAACCTTTTACCCCGTGATTCCTATATATACTATCTGTCCAGTGTCCGAATATTTGGATCAGTCAAAACTGAACAACCTTTTACCCCGTGATTCCTATATATACTATCTGTCCAGTGTCCGAATATTTAGATCAGTCAAAACTGAACAACCTTTTACCCCGTAATTCCTATATATACTATCTGTCCAGTGTCCGAATATTTGGATCAGTCAAAACTGAACAACCTTTTACTCCGTGATTCCTATATATACTATCTGTCCAGTGTCCGAATATTTGGATCAGTCAAAACTGAACAACCTTTTACCCCGTGATTCCTATATATACTATCTGTCCAGTGTCCGAATATTTGGATCAGTCAAAACTGAACAACCTTTTACCCCGTGATTCCTATATATACTATCTGTCCAGTGTCCGAATATTTGGATCAGTCAAAACTGAACAACCTTTTACCCCGTGATTCCTATATATACTATCTGTCCAGTGTCCGAATATTTGAATCAGTCAAAACTGAACAACCTTTTACCCCGTGATTCCTATATATACTATCTGTCCAGTGTCCGAATATTTGGATCAGTCAAAACTGAACAACCTTTTACCCCGTGATTCCTATATATACTATCTGTCCAGTGTCCGAATATTTGGATCAGTCAAAACTGAACAACCTTTTACCCCGTGATTCCTATATATACTATCTGTCCAGTGTCCGAATATTTGGATCAGTCAAAACTGAAAACCTTTTACCCCGTGATTCCTATATATACTATCTGTCCAGTGTCCGAATATTTGGATCAGACTGAACAGTCTTTATCCTCGATTCATATAATATATACATGTTTATGTACCTTCTATCAAATGTTTAGCTGTCCATAATTCATAAAATATGCATAAATATATATATATATATAAATATGTGTCTTCTATCGAATGTTTAGGTGTCCATAATTCATAATATATATACAAACATATACCTTCCATCCAATGTTATGACATTTGGATCAGTCCAGACTAGACACTGTTTACCAATCAACACTATGTCCCGGTCTTCCACAACCACCTTAAAAAGAACGCATTATTTACAAATCACAAATGCATCATTTTCGTGAATTTATTTTTGATTTGTAAGATGTACTACCTGTCATTCATATATCGGGATATCGATCGTCAGATTGCAGAATCAGAAATAAACAGTGATTATTTATTTCAAAATTTGATAAGCTGAAAATTGAATGATGTTCCTTTTTTCTTACAGAATTCAAAGATTTAAAGTAAGACAATCTACCACCCAGTATTACCTTGACGTCTGGTATCGTGGCAAAACTCCATGCGGGGTTAAAAATACCATCGTCTCCACGAAATCGGATGAAACTGGTTCTGCTGTCTATTTCTGTGACGGTATTGTCAGACGAACCAGATACAGTCAAGTATCTGGGTTCATTCCAGTTGCTGAATGAGAACACTACACCGCAATTGGCATTCTCAAAGGATACTGGCTCGTCTGTTGCTCCACCAGTTGCACAAGCGAGTTGGCCATTTTCATAGTAATTTGGCGTTCTCACACGGATCACCACATTACAGTGATTTTCCTCATAATCCGCAATTCTGACAACAGATTAAGTACATAATACATGGGATGTACAAGTATTATATGAACTTATTTTGATAAAACAAACAAAAAAACCCCCCAAAAAAAACAAAAACCTAACCAAAATTATCCTCAGGTATAACCATCGAATACGACACTTCCTCAAGAGATACCGCTGTAAAGACAACCAAATCAGTTATCCTCAAGTTGAAAGTCTACGCATTGAAAGCACGGCCTCCTTACAATCGACTATCTTTTTTTCGATGTCATCATAATAATCACCTTAACTAGTCCCGTGTTTACTGTCGTTGGATCTTCCGAAAATTGGGAAGTGTTCTGTTTTCATACAAGTGCAACATTGTAACGGAAGGCAGCGAGTGTGGAGGCTACAAATGGAAGTTTTGTGAGCCAATGCGTTGCAGAATGGGACCTCTCTGGCGGCGGATGTGTAATGGCTTTGGAATGCATTTGTTGGTGGATTGTATCAAACCTGTTGCGGTAAATGGTGATTTAACAAGCATGCGATATTATATCACAGTAGTTCTATCACTTTGTAGGATAACGCGCAAACACACCACGCCTATGTTATGTTCAATAGACCGTTGGAATCACTTTAACATGACTGGGACGTCCTTTGGCGCGGGTGAACCTCCAAATCAGCTTTCAAACTTGCAGTGGCTGGCCAAAACTTTGCATAATGAATAGAAGTATCCGTCGGTTTACGATGCTGAAATGCTGTTTACCTCGTAGTTGGTGTTAATAGTTACATTGTTACATTTGTGGTTGGTCCTAATGTCTTCAAAACGTTGAATAAACTTAATACCTATCATTGCCTAAATGGTTATGAAGCAGGGATCTCAACTGTTTCAAATATATAACTCAGAAACAAGGTCCCAAGGTATTTAACTACACTCCTTTTTTCAATTCTGACTTCATGAATGTGTTTATCTCTTGATGTCCATCATTGCTATATATGGGTTAGGTTAGGATCGTAACTGTTTCTGCAATACAAATCAGAAACTAAGTCCCAAAGGGTGAGGCCAGACCCCAGGGCCAATTTTTAAATCATGATTGTGTTAACCTCATGATTCCTATCACTGCTACATTTAGTTATGGGTTGGACACCTCACTTGCTTCAAAGATATATAAAGTAAACTGGGTCCTTCAGGGTGGGCCAGATTTCAGGTCCAATTCTTACATCACGATTGTGTTTATCTCTAAATGCCCAGTAATGCTATATATGATTATGGGGAGGGGATCTCAACTGTTTCAAAGGCTCTTTTTAGCCCCTTCCGTCCTATCCATGAGAGCCTATATTTATATACCTTATATTAGACTGATTTACCTTCACCTTAACATACTTTAGATAGAATCCAATCATTTCTACGAGAGGAGAAGGATTCTAAAGAATTTGCTCTTTTAACCATATTGAGTCTGCCCCTCTCGCCCAAAAGAGGGGCGTAGAGAGGCCCACACTTCATACAAAATTAATTCCTCTTCACCCAAAGATGTTTTTGGCTACAGATGGAGTAGGATTTTAAAGAACAGCAAGCAAACAACAGCAGTTAGTATTACATGCAACACATGTCCCCTGCCGTAAATTACTGTATTTATTAGCAAATAAGCCCATGTCTGCTAATAAGCCCACCAATGTTCTGTTGTAAAGCAAATGGGAGAAAATGCTACTAAACTGTTTGCAATAAGCTAATCCTATACTATGGATCCGAGTTTATATGTTTATAAGCTTCCAGTGTATCAAGTTTCAACCAAATACATTAATCCGTTATCAAATTAATGTCTGAAAACTAAATTGTGGTAAGATTCTATTTTTAGTAACAGTTACCTTTGCAGGTGATGTTTTGACCCCAAACAAAATCCCACACTATATTGCCTTATAAACTACCATTGTATGAAGTTTCATCCAAATACATTAATCTATTCTCAAGTTATTGTCCGGAAACTAAAATGTGACAACAGTTTCTATTTTTAGGAACAGTGACCTTTGTAGTTGATCTTTTGACCCCAAAGAAAATCTCACACTATATTGGCTTATAAACTACCATTGCATGAAGTTTGATCCAAATCCATCAATCTCTTCTCAAGTTATCGTCTGTAAATCAACATCCGGACGCAACGACCGACGGACGGACAGACGGAGACAAACACTATAGTCCCCTCCGGTTTCACCGGCAGAGGACTAATAAAGCGCTCGAGGTTACGCTAAGGTACAGATAAATGTCACAGAACATAAGTGGAAATGACATAATACGTACTGGGATGACGTTGAAGATTCTGGGTACCTGCAGTCAATTGGAATCGTCAGACTGAGTGTAATGTTAATGCTTTCACCTTCTGATACCATATATTCCGACGCATCAGTCTGAAAAAAAAAACAATTATTACAGATTACAACTTACAACAAAGTATTGGGTTTCGGAAATACATTCGCCATTTAAAACCGACAAAGAGTAGTAAAATCAATGAATAAAAAAATAATCCAGGGGTGGATACGGTTACAAAAGATATGATCGATTTATTAGGAGTTTAACTTACTGTTATTCCTGCATAAAAAGCACTGCTATGATAATATGCTCCAGGCGAACTGTCTAAGTCATTCCGAGCGCGAACTGCACACTTCACCTACGACAAATTGTTAACAAATTCAAGATTATTAAACAAGATCCTAAATCCGATAAAAACAAAGTTCATTGTTTTTAATTATGAAAAACATAACATCTTTGTACACCAATTAACTTAAAGTTGTTCAATATTTTTTCGCTATTGATGAAAAGTTAAATGTACAGACAAAAAATCGAGGAGTCGATTTGGAATATTTTCTTTCACAACAGTGCATATTCAAATAAGAGTCGACATGTTTCGTTACCAAAAATCCCAGTGTGAATGTCTGTATCCATTGTGAATGCCGTAGCTTGGTCTCTGTAAGATTGGCGTAGGGTGTGTTTTTGTGTGTCACAATCAAGTTATCGTTAATGTACCACTGGATATCATACACAAATGCTGTAAGATCCTTATCACTATCGATATCACACTGGAATTGTATCTCCTTGATTATTACGGGAGCTCCAAATGCTTCGCCTGTTGTTGTGTTTAGTCCAGGTGTTACAACAGCCTGCAGTGTGATATTTGGCGGGACTGTTGAAAATATCAGAGTAATGTGTTAAGATAAGAAATAACTAAAATGTGGTAGTAGCATGTATGACACAGTGAGAGTAGTCTATTAGATTAAATAGCATGTATCAAATCACACGTATATAAAACATATCATCACTAAGAGAGCACTATTAATAATATTTTCAAAACATTTTCCAACAAGTTCCAAAGCATGAGCACTAATCAAATGTATTTTACTTAAAAATAAAAAAGCGTCACATGAAGTCTATATACTAAAGTAGCTTAATGACCAGTACCAGGATAATATGGTCACACGGAGACCAAAGAATGATTTTAAAGGCATATAACACTGAGTAGGTAACAGTGTACTATGGAAACAGTTTTCTGTACTATTCCAAGCTGATCATTTTAAAAGGAATACATTCCGGTATGCTAACGAAGTCTAAATACTACTGATTCTAGATAGAACTTTTACCAATTGGTTTCTTTGCTCGTAATGACAAGTTCCATTTTTCGTTATAATAAGTTTATCGGGAGGTGAGGGGTGAGGAGGGAGTTCTTTCTTGTAAACATATATGAAAATTGCAAAACCTTAACCAGAACAGGGGAACATGTATCCTGAGTAAAGAGTGTCTCTCTAGGTACATAGATAATAGGCTCAATGCTCAAGTCAAAGATGATGTGTATACAACGTCTTTGTTTAGTATTTAAATCGAGAATTTATTTCCGTATCCTACGGTTACTCACTCTGACTAACATAGGAGCGTCATGTAAATTGAATAGACAATTTTTTGACTTTTGAGTTTGTGTTCTTTTAATTTTTGTTGTTGTTATTGACCAAACATGATATGTTATCTTTACGTAGTATAACATATATTCGTTTCAATCGAAACTATTACCTGAGACTTAAAACAAACTGTTATTTGATAGATCAAAATACCTATTAAATTATTGAATCATATTTTATTTTTGACAATAAGTGTAACTATCATACACTTGATAAAATAATTATTAATAATGTAATCAAAAAGATGAAAATGTTCTTAGAATTGAAGTATCGCTTAATTGGACTTTGTATTTCAATGCATGCATCGTGTGTGGTTGACTTATATGAATAACAAATACAAACAAAACTAAATTCTATATTCCACATAATACACATAATACGGCGTTATTGTTATAGCAAGCTTAACCCGTTCAATAGCAGTGCTACTCTGACTCTTAACGTTAATACTTTGATGAAAAGTATACAAGCATATAATACAAGTGTAGATAGGACATTTTAATTTCACTTAAACTGATGTAAAAGCATTGTGATGTATGCTTTATATATCAATAACAGACAAATATTTAAAATGAATGATTATGCGACTCCCAATCACATCCATTACATACATTTGTCTAGTCAACAGTGCTTTTCGCCTTTGTTTAAATGGCCTTTATTTCTATATTGATCACAAGATACGGGTGTGACTTCACCTACCTCCACATCCAGGATGAAAGCCTGTGTCAGATGTCTCTCCTTCAGGGCAAGCTAATTCATTACCTGCAACCCATTTAATACACTAAGTTGCATGCAATTACGAGATTGTTAAATAACTTTTTTTCATTATTTCACAGATATTTTTCTACGATTATTTTTCTATTATAGAGATGGGACATATAGGTTCCTGAGACGGTTTAGATAAAGACTTGTAAAGGAGGAAATTTAACAAGCATTGCTGGAAATTTACATGTGACTATTCCACACATAACGTACATGTATTTGGGCACAAAATATCTGTTTCCAGTCTCTACCTGAACAATTGAGTTCTTAGGTAGAAAATGTGTTTGCTTAATTTGAACACTGATTTCTTAACTGTCACATATTGATAAGAGAACAATTCATTAAGCATCTATCTGTCAGAATGCTTTAAGTGTAACATATTTATTAAGGAGCAACTTATTAAACATATATTTGTCAAATAGTTTTAATCGTTGCATAATGATTAAGGAACGTATTGATAGGGAACAATTTATTAAACATCCATCTTTCCGATACTCAGTAGTACACACACACCTCACACAAAGAATGCTAGCGCTGAGACGGATTGTCAAGCAATAAAACATCAGTAAAGACAACTTGAAGATTTTAAGACTAACGTTTTGCTCAAATCTTAAAAATTGGGTTTGTAACAGAAAAAAGTCTGTTTATCTAATACGTCCAAGTTCTTGGAAATTATCTTTAATTTCCTTCACTTTCGACTATTCATTACTGTTTATGACCTAGATATTGAAGGACTATTAAGTTTGTCACTATAATGCTATAATAAAGTGAGAGTAAGTGTCTTTTAGACAATTACAACACACCATGAACTTACCAAAACAATATGCCGCTGAACAAAGGCTGGTCTGTTTCAGTTCGTAGACATAAAACGACTCGCATTTCTTCACTCGTATGGTCCATGTTTGTGTGCAGCTCATAAAAACATGTTTCAAGCAAACTTTTACGTCTGTTATATCAGTCGTGTTTGGTAAAACTGCCAAAAAATAATTTTAAAAAATGTCACAGTTCCATTACACAAAGATAAAAATAAAAACTGCAAACATTCACAATTGGCGAAGCAGGAATACTTAGATACTCAACCCAGTGTTTCAAGGAATAACTATACGACCAAAATTTGTTTACCAAACACAAACCTACTTAAAGTCCTAACTGCTAACATCATATCTATAAATTGATACAAAAGTATAAATATGTAGAAATTTTGCATCAGATATAGAGATGCTATGTGCACATATTAAAATATGAAAAAGGCAAACGGGACGACAGATGATCTACGTCACGCCATGGACAATACGGTGATCATGTTATACTGTTTCTGCCTGTCGTCGCGATTATTTGCATATTTTATTGCTATATGTACATGTTAATAGAAATCGATGTACTTTAAATTAATTTATTCATTGTCCATATTTAGATTAATTTTTATGAACTAAAACTTCGAAAATTTGTTCATGAAGATCTTTATTGGCATAATCCGGTTACGTCGCTACCATAAATATCCATTTGCTAGTTCTATCGTGCTTAAAGACCCTCTCCGTTCGTGTTTTGACAACCTTACCAGCTCGCCATTCCATGCAACTCGTATATAAAATACAGGTGGCAAACTTTTAAGCACGACGCCCTAAATATTTATCCAAGATATATATCTTTATAAAAAAAAATAATAAGAAGAAACATTCCCAGAGTTCTGTATTTCCGTTTGTGTCAAACGAACTTTTGGACAGTGCAATATACATCAGTAACTAAACCATATAGCAGAATTAATTCCTATTTACAAAGTCAGGTTTCATTCAAAAGTCGTCACCTTGCCACAACACGGTATAATACTGTTCTCAGCTCAATGTGATGCAATATGTCACAAATGGACGGTACCTTATAGACATGCTGTATTTTGATAACTACCAAAATAGATATTAAGATGTAAAATTTGTTCTAAGCACGGAGCCCTTATGGTCGAATGAAAACCCACCATCATCCATCCATATCGGATACTGTGTTCCACATTTGTTCAGGCCTGGATCTGTTGTAGGCATGGTAACCCCTGCTCCGGAAATAGGTCGATACCATGCCTCTCTAATTGCAGCGTCACAATGAGAAAAATCTGCATTCGATTCATCAAAGCTAGAAGAGCGCCATGGGTCATCAAGGAGTTGGTGGTTTGAAGGTTCACATGGATCTGTAAAGATACAGTAAGGTTTTACACATATTCAATAAATATCACTTCGGCAACAATTTGTTTTTTATTTAAATGAACGAATGGCGTTATAAGGCAGACTATTTAAACGGCTTATCATTGTTATATCTCTGATGCTTTTATAATTACATAACTTTAGATTTTTCGCTGTTAGAGCATTTTTAATAAGTGTTTTCCCCTCTTTGACATGTTGGAAGTATGGTATTGCTATAGTCGATCTTACATCCATGTTAAAATAAATGTTGGCTGGAAGACGCTACTATGGTTACCAAAACAGGAAAATAACAATCTCAATATATATTGATGAATGGGAAAACAAATAAAATATTTGAACTGGAAAGAGAGTTATGAAGATTTGAATTCCTTAGAAATGTTAGTTTCCAAGGTTTATGAATGTAAAACTAATGTATATTATAACATAGTCTTACTAGGTTAATACTAAAAGTAGTTGGGTGTTGTTGTAAACTTATGTTTAGGGTAGATGTTTATTAACATAATCGATGTAGTATATGATGTTAAGTCTCGGATGCATTTCGTTGAAATATTTACGTTAGATATAGTTAATGATTTTCTATAGAGTAACTGGTGATGGAATGGATAAGATTATGTAACAACCGACGATGTTTAGCGTCATGGTGAGAAAATCTGTTATAGGGGTACACTGCATGTTCAGTTATTATCACAAATGTATAGGGAATATGTCTGCAAAAACATTATCTGAGCTCGTAATCCAGACGGCGAAGAAGAGCTGTAGAGATTCACAGAGAAATGAGCTTCCTTTGTCGAGATTTTGTTGTTAGTGTATAGTACCTGACAACTATAAGTGTACAATACCCGCCAGCAGTTAATGTGCAGTATTCGACAATTGTAAATGTACAATACCCGACAATTGTTAGTGTACAGTACCTGACAATTGTTAGTGTACAGTACCCGACAACTGTAAGTGTACACTACCTGACAACTGTTAGTGTACAATACCTGACAACTGTTAGTGTACAGTACCCAACACTTGTTAGTGTACAGTACCCGAGAATTGTTAGTGTACTGTACCCGACAACTGTTAGCGTACAGTACCCGACAACTGTTAGTGTACAGTACCCGACAATTGTTAGTGTTCAGTACCCGACAACTGTTAGTATACAGTACCCGACAACTGTTAGTGTACAGTACCCGACAATTGTTAGTGTTCAGTACCCGACAACTGTTAGTGTACTGTACCCGACAATTGTTTGTGTACAGTACTCGACAACTGTTAACGTACAGAACATACCAATAGTTAGTGTACACTACCTGACAACTGTTAGTGTACAGTACCCAACACTTGTTAGTGTACAGTACCCGAGAATTGTTAGTGTACTGTACCCGACAACTGTTAGCGTACAGTACCCGACAACTGTTAGTGTACAGTACCCGACAATTGTTAATGTACAGTACCCGACAATTGTTAGTGTTCAGTACCCGACAACTGTTAGTATACAGTACCCGACAACTGTTAGTGTACAGTACCCGACAATTGTTAGTGTTCAGTACCCGACAACTGTTTGTGTACTGTATCCAACAATTGCTACGGTACAGTACCCGACAATTGTTAGTGTTCAGTACCCGACAACTGTTTGTGTACATTACCCGACAACTGTTAGTGTACTGTACCCGAGAACTGTTAGTGTTCAGTACCCGACAATTGTTAGTGTACAGTACCCGACAACTGTTAGCGTACAGTACCCGACAACTGTTAGTGTACAGTACCCGACAATTGTTAATGTACAGTACCGACAATTGTTAGTGTTCAGTACCCGACAACTGTTAGTATACGGTACCCGACAACTGTTAGTGTACAGTACCCGACAATTGTTATTGTTCAGTACCCGACAACTGTTAGTGTACTGTTCCCGACAATTGTTTGTGTACAGTACTCGACAACTGTTAACGTACAGAACATGCCAAATGTTAGTGTACAGTACCCGACAATAGTAAGTGTACAGTACCCGACAATTGTTAGTGTACAGTACCCGACAACTGTTTGTGTACTGTATCCAACAATTGCTAGCGTACAGTACCCGACAACTGTTAGCGTACAGTACACGACAACTGTTAGTGTACAGTACCCGACAATTGTTAATGTACAGTACCGACAATTGTTAGTGTTCAGTACCCGACAACTGTTAGTATACGGTACCCGACAACTGTTAGTGTTAGTGTACAGTACCCGACAATTGTTTGTGTACAGTACTCGACAACTGTTAACGTACAGAACATGCCAAATGTTAGTGTACAGTACCCGACAATAGTAAGTGTACAGTACCCGACAATTGTTAGTGTACAGTACCCGACAACTGTTTGTGTACTGTATCCAACAATTGCTAGCGTACAGTACCCGACAATTGTTAGTGTTCAGTACCCGACAACTGTTTGTGTACAGTACCCGACAACTGTTTGTGTACTGTATCCAACAATTGTTAGTGTACAGAACATGGCAAATGTTAGTGTACAGTACCCGACAACAGTAAGTGTACAGTAACCGACAACTGTTAGTGTACTGTACCCGAGAACTGTTAGTGTACAGTACACGACAATTGTTAGTGAACAGTACATGACAATTTTTAGTGTGCAGTACCCGACAATTGTTAGTGTACTGTATCCGACAATTGTTAATACACAGTATCTGACTGTTGATAACTTTTTCCTTAGATGTAAACACTTCCTTTAGAAAGTCCTTTATCTTAAAATTGTTGAATCTGTCGAGTGGTGTGATTATTGACCTGACATGAACTGACATGTGTCTGTCATATAATCCTTCGATGGGTGGAACTACCCCACAGAGGATAACGCGACGAAAGCATTTGTTTGTAACGCAGTCATTGTTATTAGTGAAATACCGTGTAACTTAATACACAACTATCGAGCAATTTAACAGGAAGTGAGTTAAAATAAATGTTTATCTTTATATTGTAATTTCAATTCTCTGTCAATTAATTTTCACACTCTATGTGTTTGGCATATTGACGAATCCTAGAAGGTATACCGCGCTTTCATTTACTGTATTTGCACTGAATGTTGTTATTTAATTGTGTGTTCTCTGTCAAAAAAAAAAAAATTAAGAGAATTTTTTTATCGGTCATGTATTTGTATAAATTGTATGCATATACTAAGAACCCAATCGAGTTGTAATATTCAGAAATTGTATGATAGATAAATACATTTATCATTGGAGAAAGGAAAGATATATTTATCCTTGTCATTCGTGTAGTATATCCATATCTCGGGTTTATTTACAACAGGTCCGGGATCCGGCATAGACGTAGGAATATATCTGAAGGCCAGTCCGACAGAAGACGACGACAATGTATCAATGTAGCTATGCTTCAAGATGATTATAAGTGAAGATGCAGTTTCAGAAACATTTAATTTTGATTAAATTTGACCAAGTCATCATTATTTTATCTTATGACTATTTACTGAAAGACCAAAAGCGAATGGACATTTTGTTTTACGAGACGAGCAAGAGTTCCCTTTTAGTCTTTTAGTGAAAAATTAAAGATTAATGAAACTAATCCTTAATTAGTCGTCGATGAAGCAGAAACTTACTCCTCCAGAAAACCAGGTTTTATTCTCCTTCAAAGTCTTTCTTATGTTAAAATTTGGGGTTTTTTTTATTTGAGTTTGGGTTTGGATTATTTTGTCATATTTTATTTTGTAGACGGAAAGTGTATTTAAGGTTAAAAGAAATAAGCGTTACTGTCTCAGACTTTACGGTAAGCATGAATATAAAGTATTACAAAAAAGGAACTCATCGATAACCTTTTTAATAGAAGTACATGTCTGTATTTAAGCAATGTGTTTGTTCTATCCTAATTATTTTAAACCATCAAGTATTGTTCCTGATACAATATGAATGAACTCCCGAGTACTTATTACACACGTTCTATCGGTATCAGATAGGTGGCACTTTCACACAGTAAATAAATGCAGTTGTCTGTAATGTGTTCTATGTAACAACTGAATCGCCATGCAACTTTATAACAAACAAAAAAGATAAATTGATATCATAAGGAATTTTAGGGAAGTTAAATGTAGTGAAATAGGTCCGTGCTTGTTTATGATTCATTATGAAGTCTCTATCAGGTAATTGTTCACATTAATTTCGGACAAGTTCGATTTCGATTGTCTCCTCCTAGGTTTCAACATTTTAAGTCTTCAGCATCATTGTTGAGTCCTAGAAGGATGACACAGCTGTATGATGCTGTTTGTTATTCATTTGTATGCTCTCTGTAAAATCGTTCCATTTTTCGTTTTTTACGACATATGTTTATGCATATACGACGGACCTAACTGTGTTGTCATATTCCGTGATTGTTTGGTATCAAAAACGACGTCGTTAGGTTTTAGATGCAAATACTTTACTAACGACTGTGATATCATTGGAATTTAAAACATGGACGGCATGTAACATAATACATCCTATATCTCATTATTCGTGTAGAATACCAACATCTTCTTTACAATATGTCCGGGATTCGGGACTGATGTAGGAGAAAGTCGGAGGAAGAGTTAGGTTAAAATACATGATGGCCAGTCCAACAGAAGTCATTATCTTACTGAAAACAATATCCAAACTTGTTTTTAACTACATAATTCGAATGAACATTATCATAGATGACACTAGATAATTATTTATGTTATAAACAATAAACATCTTACCTTGTCCACTTGAAATATTAATTAAGCCAAGTAATAGTATTGACTGTAAAGTAATTAAAACCATTTTTCTTCTAGGTACTAACACACATCCAGTTTGGATTAAAGCCATCCTGCAGTGTGAGTAGCGCACTATATGCTACTGATTATGTATATAGCGATTTGTTTAGGTAGCTGTGACATAATCGGAAAATCCCAGATATATTTACTAGGAACAGTCTTTTAAATTCAAGTTTCTATATTTGTATCGGTATCAATGAAACGTACACTATAATGGATTCCTGAAAAATATGACATACATTTGATAGCGTGGTATTTTTATTACCGATAGCTCAAGATTTATACTGTGTTTCCTGTACTTTCCTGGCTATTTACATGACATTCACAATCAACGCGACTCTATGAGTGTTAGAATCTCAAATACTTTAAATGATTCAACAGTCACCGTCGTGCACCTATGAGCAAGCATTTATGACATATTGTTTTAAAGCAGATGTACAGTATTCATCACAGTCATCTCTGAAATGTATAATCACAGATATTTTTAGATAAATCATAGCATTTGAAAACTCCCCATACATAGAAGTCGTTATTCTCCGCGACTAAAGCATGACGACTGACGAAAACTGGACTTAAATGGGAAGTCAGCTTTTTTCTATGACGAGCAGCCAAAAAAAACAGAAATCAATCCTACAACTCAAAAAAATACCGTAGCAATTCGCTTGAACGTACTGGCTAGGTAACAAAATCTGTGTTCAATTTCGTTTTCAAACTATGTTTTTATATACAAAAACTATCTATCTAAGGACCATTTAAAGCAGAATTAGTCTACAGAAAGATGGTGCAATACAAGGGAAACAACTCGTATTCAATGGTATATGTTATGTACCGAAATTTTACTGCACTTTTAAGTAAACATTTGGTGCAACTGAATTCTCTTGCCTCGACAAACTGTACACAAGGTCATCCACTGATGAATCTTACAGAAATAACTGACGTTTAGCTTCCCTCTTTAAATGGATGAATGCGTGGCGATGGATGAGTTAGTAAACTAACTTGTGATCTCGGTGAAAAATACCCTATACCTTATACGGTATGAAGCTGAACATGTTCGATGCTCGATAATTTGCCTGTTGATTCCGTTGTTGTATGCCTTGTTCTCTTTTGAGATGAAGCAGAAGACGCTTACTCTTCCGGAACACCTTACCTTATTCTCCCTGCACTTTTGCTTTTGTTTATATTTAGCCCTAGTTTTATTAAGTCTGAGCTTGAAACATAATTTTGTTGACAGGTTGGTATTTTCCTTCTGTTTTTGTTCAGAAGCACCTAAATTTTGGAATGATGTGACCGTTACTTAATTTAATTTCTTATTTATTTTTTTGTTTTTTGTTTTTTGTTTTTTTTTTTTTTTTTTTTTTTTTTTTTTTTTGTTTAAACAACTAAGTTTTAAAAAAAGAAGAAAATGCTGATCATTTTACCCCATCTTCAACAATTTCCATTCCATACTTTCTTCCATGTCCTATCCAACACCATGTTTAACTAAGTCAGTTTTCAATGAGTTCACTCATAACCTGATGTTTTAAACACGTTATTTCAGCTATATTAGCAGTTTTAATAGTTTCTTCTGGCAAATACAATTAATATGACTAATATGAAAAGAAATATCGTATATTATGACATACTGAACTTACGTACATTTTGATCGAATTCTGCTAATTTAAAGATCCATTCACATGTCAGGATAATTACCGTAAATAAATAAATAAATAAACTGTTGATGATAGAAATAAATAAATAAATTCCACTGAGATATAAATATTTATTCGGTTTTTTTTTTTTTTTTTTTTATCAGAGCATGGAAACATTTGTAGAGGATTGAAATTAGTGCTGAACTAAGTGATAATCTAATAACATGAAAACAAGATGATCAGATGATTAAATGTGGAATATAAAATGATAAAAAAGTACTCCGATAACTTGCAAAAATGAAATGTTTACAAGTTGTAAAAAGGAGAATAAAATACTACTTCTAATGAACCCATTTAGTAAGAAACGCCTTACTTTCTCTATATGCAGTACTTATAAAGTAGATATATACAATTAACTGTAAGGCAATCAACATCATTTTTATCTAAGCAACACACATCAGTGTAAAGACTCATTTCCACTTCACATGGCCAAGCAATAATATCATTAGGTTGCTGTCACAGCATGGTACCGTAAATACAAAAGGCCCATTGAGCATGTATAGCTCATCTGGTTTAGTTTGCTGAAATTAATTAATTTAAACCAAAGGGAAAGTATTTAAAATGCTTAACCTATTTTCCCTATTGGGCCCCGCCTCTCCTCTAGAGGGGGTTAGATGGATGCACTGTTTGTACAAACGTTTTCTTCACCCAAGTATATTTCACATCAAATCTGGACAAATTTGAATCAGTACAACAGAAGAAGAATTTTAAAAGACTTTGCACTTTTTCCACTATCAAGTACTGTCCCTCGTCACAAGGGGCCGAAACCTACTGTTGATACAAAATTGATCCCTTTCATTTAGGCAAGTCTCAAATCATATTGGGCAGAAGCCAGACATTACTCTTGTGCAGCGACGATACTATACACCTCTGTTAATTAGATGTCTCGTGTTTCCTATGTCAGCATGTAGGAATATCGATAAAATTGTTCCGCATTGGTGCAGCTGTATAGAATAACGATCATACTACATATTTAGCACCTGGAACGAATACTTGGAAGAGAACACGGACGTAGATTTTCAGGTTTTTCTTGGTATCGTGATAAAAAAAAACCTGACGTCTTCATTTGTGTTTTGTATTTCTTTATATATACAACATTTCCAATACTCACCGCATTTCACAACACAAAAAGTGACCTCGTTACTCACAAACAATAGTCAACTGGGTACTCAGCACTGATACTCACCTTCCTATTCACAACAATACTTACTCCTATATTCATCAATAATACCCACCACCTTACTCAATACTGCCAGCTCCCTCCCCCGGTCCGTAACTCCCCATCCATACCTAAACGTACTTTCTGTACTCACCACCAATACTCACCTTGTTACCCATCAGCTAAAACTTCCTGGTTACTTAACACTAATATCCACTTAGTCACCTAACATTAGTGCTTATCTCTTTCCTCAGAATCAATACTCGCCTCTCACTCACCATTAATACCCATTCCTTTACTTACTATCTATAACAAGTTCGTTACTACCCACCAATACGTACCTTTTTGCTCATCACCAATACGTACCTACAATACTTGTTACTCACTATCAACACCCATCGTTACTCACTATCAATACCCGCCTCGTTACTCACTATCAACACCCATCGTTACTCACTATCAATACCCGCCTCGTTACTCACTATCAATACCCACCTCGTTACTCACTATCAATACCCGCCTCGTTACTCACTATCAACACCCATCGTTACTCACTATCAATACCCGCCTCGTTACTCACTATCAATACCCACCTCGTTACTCACTATCAATACCCATCGTTACTCACTATCAATACCCGCCTCGTTACTCACTATCAATACCCACCTCGTTACTCACTATCAATACCCACCTCGTTACTCACTATCAATACCCGCCTCGTTACTCACTATCAATACCCACCTCGTTACTCACTATCAACACCCATCGTTACTCACTATCAATACCCGCCTCGTTACTCACTATCAATACCCACCTCGTTACTCACTATCAATACCCGCCTCGTTACTCACTATCAATACCCATCGTTACTCACTATCAATACCCGCCTCGTTACTCACTATCAATACCCATCGTTACTCACTATCAACACCCATCGTTACTCACTATCAATACCCGCCTCGTTACTCACTATCAATACCCGCCTCGTTACTCACTATCAATACCCACCTCGTTACTCACTATCAACACCCATCGTTACTCACTATCAACACCCATCGTTACTCACTATCAACACCCATCGTTACTCACTATCAATACCCGCCTCGTTACTCACTATCAACACCCATCGTTACTCACTATCAATACCCGCCTCGTTACTCACTATCAATACCCACCTCGTTACTCACTATCAATACCCGCCTCGTTACTCACTATCAATACCCGCCTCGTTACTCACTATCAATACCCGCCTCGTTACTCACTATCAATACCCACCTCGTTACTCACTATTAATCTATTATCATCTGAAATCATACATTATATATGTGTACATATCTCTAACTGCATTTTACATTACTTTTAAACCAAGTTACTATGTATTCCATTTTATACCTTTCACTCATGAGATGTCTCCTTGCAGGAGGTAAGTACCCAGGTAAAAACAACATGTATGACAAGTGAGCCCTTATTTATTCACATTTGCGTTGACAAACGAAACCTGGCCTTCTATGGAAAAGGCGAATTGGTTTCCGCTTCACACTCCAGTTATTCCTGATTTTAACGAAGCTTTGTGCCCGTCTTCACCTTGATATCTGCAAGCGATACATTATAGTAATAACCTATTTATCTCTCTATGATATTTGTGCAGTCCTGGTGAAATCCGTTATACACTGACACAACCTTTTAGGGCAACGTCAGCTTATGACAGCTATATACTCAGTCACGCGTGACGAATACTTGTTGATTTTTGATAAAGATGTACATGAATCTGACTCGGTATGGTCGTGTTGTGTATGTTGTGTAGTACAACCATGTTTGTCACATCAGTAAGCTTTGTATGGTAGATTTTGTTCTGCTTTTCTACATGTTCTGAACTTTCTATATCACGTATATAAGATGAAGATCTCGACGATTTTTATCATTACTAAAGCTTCATACAATGATAGATAACTGCTTGATGTTTGAGATTTAAGTGGACATTATTTCAAGTGTGACTTTATTACAAAGGCATGGATATTTAGGACGAGAAAAACAGACAAAAAAGAATGAAAGGAAAAAAGAAAGAGTTACATCCCGATCGCTTTTTATGTGTATCTGTTTACAACTGAGAAGAGTGGATTTGCGATATTGTAGAATCTGAATTCTTGAAATAAACAAAGCTGTCACTTTAAACTTTCATGCTGTGATTTTGTCTCTGGACTTGTACGATAGTATCTTACGTCGATATCAACATTGATCTCGTCCAATTTTGTGGACATATCCCCCAGCGGTAGACTTGCAAAATAAACTGTTTGGTAATGTCCTTCACGTCTTTTAAACAAACGGATCCGTTAAATTGTCTTGTACCACAAAAGAAGATGTTGTCAATCTTCGAAGTGTATTGCAGTTTATCCATTATCACCATGCAGTATCTTAAAAGATCAAATTAAAAACAATGAAAGAGGGTATATTGTTTCAAGTAGTGGGACAAAGGAGCCGAGTCAGGCTATCGCATTCCGCTGTTTATAACATGTGTACAGAACATGTCTTTATGGTTGTAGATCTTAATTTTTTATTCAAAGTGCATATAATATACCTTTGTATGTATCTATACGGCAGCGCTGTTATCTATCATTAAGACCCGATTTAAAACCCACATGATGATTTGGTATCGCTATTTTCTTTTAGGTTTGATGTCTTCGGTGTTTGCAGGTAATTTTTTTTAAATACAAAACAAGAACTTCGATATTTTGAATTTTGACTTAAATATTAACAATAACAATCTATGGATTTTGCATTTTCTACATTTCTATGATTACTAGCGTTCATATCTAGTTACGATCAATATAGATAGCTTTGAATCAGCTGTACAATGTGTTAAAAACATATATCAATATTTTCTGTATGTTTCATGTTCGGTACTTGGAATATGTGTAACTCAACAGATTCATTCAACAACTAACATAATATGTAACCTGTATACATGTATTTAAAACAACGATGATACGTTATTTATCGTTGTGAAGTCAAGTTTGGAAATAAGAACAATTAGTATAATGAGGCACCAAATCAATATACATACAACATAGAACAAAAAGTTTTAGAAATACATTACTATCATAACAACATCCAACAAATATGTTCTATCAACATGTTTGACTTGTATCTGATATAGATATACGTACAAGTAGATATAAATAATATATCTAACTTAGCCAATTGATATGTCAGGGTATTATGTATTGATATGTCAGGGTGTTATGTATTGATATGTCAGGGTGTTATGTATTGATATGTCAGGGTATTATGTATTGATATGTCAGGGTGTTATGTATTGATATGTCAGGGTGTTATGTATTGATATGTCAGGGTGGGTGTTATGTATTGATATGTCAGGGTGTTATGTATTGATATGTCAGGGTGTTATGTATTGATATGTCAGGGTATTATGTATTGATATGTCAGGGTATTATGTATTGATATGTCAGGGTGTTATGTATTGATATGTCAGGGTGTTGTGTATTGATATGTCGGGGTGTTATGTATTGATATGTCAGGGTGTTGTGTATTGATATGTCGGGGTGTTATGTATTGATATATCAGGGTATTATGTATTGATATATCAGGGTATTATGTATTGATATGTCAGGGTATTATGTATTGATATGTCAGGGTGTTATGTATTGATATGTCAGGGTGTTATGTATTGATATGTCAGGGTGTTATGTATTGATATGTCAGGGTATTATGTATTGATATGTCAGGGTGTTATGTATTGATATGTCAGGGTATTATGTATTGATATGTCAGGGTGTTATGTATTGATATGTCGGGGTGTTATGTATTGATATGTCAGGGTATTATGTATTGATATGTCAGGGTGTTATGTATTGATATGTCAGGGTATTATGTATTGATATGTCAGGGTATTATGTATTGATATGTCAGGGTATTATGTATTGATATGTCAGGGTGTTATGTATTGATATGTCAGGGTGTTATGTATTGATATGTCAGGGTATTATGTATTGATATGTCAGGGTATTATGTATTGATATGTCAGGGTATTATGTATTGATATGTCAGGGTGTTATGTATTGATATATCAGGGTATTATGTATTGATATGTCAGGGTGTTATGTATTGATATGTCAGGGTGTTATGTATTGATATGTCAGGGTATTATGTATTGATATGTCAGGGTATTATGTATTGATATGTAAGGGTGTTATGTATTGATATGTCAGGGTATTATGTATTGATATGTCAGGGTGTTATGTATTGATATGTCAGGGTATTATGTATTGATATGTCAGGGTATTATGTATTGATATGTCAGGGTGTTATGTATTGATATGTCAGGGTATTATGTATTGATATGTCAGGGTGTTATGTATTGATATGTCAGGGTGTTATGTATTGATATGTCAGGGTATTTTGTATTGATATGTCAGGGTGTTATGTATTGATATGTCAGGGTGTTGTGTATTGATATGTCGGGGTGTTATGTATTGATATGTCAGGGTGTTATGTATTGATATGTCAGGGTATGATGTATTGATATGTCAGGGTGTTATGTATTGATATGTCAGGGTGTTATGTATTGATATGTCAGGGTGTTATGTATTGATATGTCAGGGTATGATGTATTGATATGTCAGGGTGTTATGTATTGATATGTCAGGGTGTTATGTATTGATATGTCAGGGTATTATGTATTGATATGTCAGGGTGTTATGTATTGATATATCAGGGTATTATGTATTGATATGTCAGGGTATTATGTATTGATATGTCAGGGTGTTATGTATTGATATGTCAGGGTATTATGTATTGATATGTCAGGGTATTATGTATTGATATGTCGGGGTATTATGTATTGATATGTCAGGGTATTATGTATTGATATGTCAGGGTATTATGTATTGATATGTCAGGGTGTTATGTATTGATATATCAGGGTATTATGTATTGATATGTCAGGGTATTATGTATTGATATGTCAGGGTGTTATGTATTGATATGTCAGGGTATTATGTATTGATATGTCAGGGTATTATGTATTGATATGTCAGGGTATTATGTATTGATATGTCAGGGTATTATGTATTGATATGTCAGGGTATTATGTATTGATATATCAGGGTATTATGTATTGATATGTCAGGGTATTATGTATTGATATGTCAGGGTATTATGTATTGATATATCAGGGTATTATGTATTGATATGTCAGGGTATTATGTATTGATATGTCAGGGTATTATGTATTGATATGTCAGAGTATTATGTATTGATATATAAGGGTATTATGTATTGATAAGTCAGGGTATTATGTATTGATATGTCAGGGTATTATGTATTGATATGTCAGGGTGTTATGTATTGATATGTCAGGGTATTATGTATTGATATGTCAGGGTGTTATGTATTGATATATCAGGGTATTATGTATTGATATGTCAGGGTATTATGTATTGATATGTCAGGGTATTATGTATTGATATGTCAGGGTGTTATGTATTGGTATGTCAGGGTATTATGTATTGATATGTCAGGGTGTTATGTATTGATATATCAGGGTATTATGTATTGATATGTCAGGGTATTATGTATTGATATGTCAGGGTATTATGTATTGATATGTCAGGGTATTATGTATTGATATGTCAGGGTATTATGTATTGATATGTCAGGGTATTATGTATTGATATGTCAGGGTATTATGTATTGATATGTCAGGGTGTTATGTATTGATATGTCAGGGTGTTATGTATTGATATGTCAGGGTATTATGTATTGATATGTCAGGGTGTTATGTATTGATATATCAGGGTATTATGTATTGATATGTCAGGGTATTATGTATTGATATGTCAGGGTGTTATGTATTGATATGTCAGGGTATTTTGTATTATATATCAGTATTGATATATGTCAGGGTATTATGTATTGATATGTCGGGGTATTATGTATTGATATGTCAGGGTATTATGTATTGATATGTCAGGGTATTATGTATTGATATGTCAGGGTGTTATGCTACCTATTGAACAAATAGCACTATTAGAATATCCTGTATAATAATGTCTACTTATACCTTGTGTGATTAAGAGATAATATACCTAATGTAATTAAGAGATATCAGTTTTAATTACTAATATCATAGTCTTGCTTTTCCAGGATACAACCCTCAGATAACTATTTAGTCAAGTTGTATGATTATAATAATATATGGCTACACAGTTGGACTACATATTCTTTTCCCAGATATAGACCCCTGTATGCCAGGTAACCATGTACTCATGGATGATCCAACACGACTTACCACATATGAAACTGACCCAACATCTGTCCTATGTGACGATGACTTGGTAACGCAGTGGTTCCGGATCAAATGCGGCGTTTTAGCAACAACACCACCACCTTTGAACAGGTGTGGTACCGAAAAGCCTGTGTGGATCGACCCTACAGGTAGGATGTATTTTCATACCACCATTGAGGTTTTCTCTGTATATCTAATAGTCTTACTTTGGCGCTAAATATGATGGCGCTAATTGCGCTAAATGTAGTATTTCAACGTAGCTATTATCATGGATGCGCTAATCTATCATTGTGCTTATTTGCCAAAACGTAATATTATGCTAAAATGTGATTTCGCGAGAATATTAATGTTTACAGTTTTTATACCTAAACTTTAAAACTATGAACTTAAGTCACCAAGGTTTGTCGTAAATAGAGATACTTTGATTTCATTGACATTCAATGTACATGTATGTTTAAAGAAATGATAATTATGAGATCTATCGAATTATTAAGTAGGTGCAACTCGCTAGCTTTGTTTAATCATTCGATTTGACTGATTTGGTTTTTCGTCGAATTCCTGCATGGTTTAAATATTTAAGGCCCCGAGCTTAACTGATAATGACGAGACCTAGAAGGAAGAACACATGTATGAAACAGTCTGATTTATAATTTTGCAATATTTTTCATGGAATTCCAGATTTTAATTGAAACATTCTACTGACGTGTTGTCTTTTTAATAAAACATTGTTGCTTTGTACTATTTCTAACTTGCTTGGTAAAAGACTTTTTAGGGAGAAAATTAGTGGTCTATGTAAACCATAAGAATCATAATCTTGCTCATGGTTTACACTTATTATGTCTCCGGATCGAAAGATCGGGAGTATATGGTCTCAGTGTAGTTTGTTTGTCTCTTGTTAATGTCCCTTTCCCGTAACTCTTGCACCGTAATAGGTCGGGTTTTCATATTTAGCGTGTGCGTTCCTTGTAACAAGAACTTTCCGGTGGTACCAAACTTTTTACCATGTTACTTGAAAGTGATCTTTAACCTACATTCGAAAAACTCAAACATTGGTTTTAACTATTGCAATGTAAGACATAATTGTGCACGCAATTAGCACATGCCGTACACAGAAGAGTTTTAATGTTCCATGTCAGAGGTTTGTTGCAACAGGGGGCATAATATTTCAGAAAAAAACATTTTGTTGAAATCATCATGATGGCATATAATTGTAACATAGACATTATTGTGTTTGATTTATCATTGATTTTACGTAGAAGTATGATTGTTGTGGTACTGATGGTGCGAATTTACATTTAATGATTGGTCATTCAGACATGCCGTCTAGTGGAGCGAGTGCCATCGTGAAAACATGTATGAGAACCGCTTTCTCCGATTGTCGCTTTAAGGGAGAGATACATGTGACGAACTGTGGTGGATATTATGTTTATGAGCTGAAGAATGTGACTAAGAGTTATTGTCCGCTGAGATACTGTGTTGGTAAGATACATGTAAAAACCGCTTAAATTAAGTTCATTAGAATAACACTGATTCACAATTTGTCAAGTCGATACTGAAATCAAAAGAAATGAAACGGTGATTTTCTTATCCAAATGTTGTCACAAAGATAATAAAAAAGGAATCTTCTGTCACTACTGGTTTATACTTTTCAGGTAGCTGAACAGGTGAAAATCTGTTTGTATTGCATAAGTGGGTGGTAGATATATACCACCATACAAAAACATTCGTGAAGATGAAAGAAAGTGGTGATTCTTTTTATTATTTCATTATTAAATTAGTAATGTTCTTAGTGCCTTAAAATGTGAAATATCCTTTATGAATATATTTTTCAGAAGCGGATTCTGGAGTAATGGTATTGCCTTCTGTGTCAGTATCTTTACATGATGGGACGACTACCACCAATTCCGGAGAATCTTTTACCAAAGAGATTCTCTTTACATGTGACTTAGGGGTTAACACGGAAGTAGATTTGACACCGATATATTACGATGTTGTGTGGTACATCAACGATCAGGAAATAAAACGGAAAACGAACCTGAGTAACTCGGCGTACATATCTGATGGGAACCTCAATGAAAGCGAATGGAGGGGAAATTATTCGCTTCCGATGACGGTAAATGGTTTTACTTCAGAATCACATTTTCCAGCTCGACTTCATTAAGATTGTATTTAAAAACGGATAATTTATATAGAAAAGCAACAGAAGATTGCACGAAAATGTCCAATTTTCTTGTTAATTCGAAATAAATATTGCCTCCGTTCTATATTAATTATGGGAATTTGGATGGATCGAAAAAAAACACGGTCGGTAGTATTGTGATGTTAATGAAAGCATCGCATTTTGGTATGTGCTGTTTGTTTTAATGTATGTTTTGCAAAAGGAAATAACGCATACACACAATAGACGATGTGAGATCTCGTTGGATATACCAACACAGTTTAAGAGGGGTTTTTTCCCCATTTACCTCGCTCCATTGAGTATTCGCACATCTTTTGTGACGTTATCGTTTTGTATGTTTGTGTAAATGTTGTGACGTCACACCTAAACACATCGAAAACTCAAATAACAATATGATGTATAATAAGCCAATGAAGATAAGTATTTCAATTTGAATTTTCACTGCGAGATTTGAAGCTGGACGTGTTTGATGCCTTATGGTTCGGTTGTCTCATTTGGGAACGTCACATTACTAACCTTTCCAGAACGCCTAGTATTGTTCTTCTTGAACTTTATCGGCTGTGTCTGTGTATATCCTTGTTAATATTTAATCCTAGTTTCATCGAATTGGATCTTGAATTAAGATCCTACTAACATGTCGACATTTTCGTTTTTATTATTATCATCATTATCGTGTTAATCTAATATAACGGATACTACCGATGTCCATAGCACAAAATCAAAGGAAAAAGTAAACAGTTTCCGTTTGAAGGGAGATAAATCTTTATTTTCTCGTGGTGTTGTCAGTCACTTTACGATCTAAACTTGTATATATATTTTAAGTCTTTTTGATTGGATGGACTGATGGATGGATTCTATATCATAAGTGAGATAGTCACTTACTGACCCTCTATAGAGCTATAAACGGTCAGTAAAATTTATAGGGGGCGAGGGCGTTTTTTTCCGAAAGACAAAGGAAGCAACTGCATTCAACATTATGACCGAAGAGGCGATTTTGTAAAGTAGAACACAGTTCATTTTCCGAAGCGGTTGACGTGGTCGGCGCCATTACATCAAAGTGACCCCCTATAAAACACGTGGTGCCATCTAACGGGACAAAGTGACCCACTAAAGAATTATAGTGGGTCACCATGTGACGTCTCTCGACCAATGATTTTAGGACATTCTAGTCCGAGGTGCGATAAAATCGACGTGAATCTATTTATGTTTTATAAACAGGTCAATTGTTCGGTGAAAGCGAAAGCTGGTGTATGTCCGGGTACCGGGTATTTTGTACGCAGCGTTTCATTCTTCGCTGGATTCACGGTTTGTTGTTTTTCATTAACAGGATCATATGTATAAATGATGGTAACAGGCATATTGTCTAAAAGAAAGTTTAAAATCTGATCTGGTTGATACGGTTTGAATGATATTGAAACGAAGTTGCATATATGACATTAAAATATTTACCATTATTGCTGTTACGTTAAATTACATCATCGAGTAAGGATTAGGTTTTATATCAGATAGATATAAAAACAGTAACACATGTTGATTTTTTACAAAACAGCTTCGTTGATTTTTTCGAATTTTATATACTTAACAGGCAGAACTATCAGGAGAAACTCTCCAGGAAAACGGCGAGCTACAGTTAACGATACAACTTACTGTTCCTCTTGGATGTACTTTCGCAAACGTCCAAGGAAAGTCCGTGTATGTTGAAATTTTGTCATTTTGGCACTTGACGATGATGGAATGATTCTATCAAAGCATTGTACAATTTGTACTCTATCCAAGACAATGAGTAACAAGACTAGACACATTTAGTCCTACGTAGATAACCCAACCAAAACAAATAAATAGATTAACCCCATCTTACAGCTGTTCCTGTCTTTTAAGACTAGTGAATGAAGCTTAGGACCATGGATAAGTGTCCTTGTCCCAAGAATCTAACACATTGATTAATTTTCAATATTAATTGATTTCAAATGAAAATCCAGATCAAGTGAATGTATTGAACAATGCGCCTACTATCACAAAGTTAGGGGTATGATGATATCATCTTTACGTTCGTGTGCTTTCTGAAAAGTTGTAGTCTCAGCTAAAGGACTGACCAACAAAGCTGCTTATTTGACAAAGTAGTGTTGGTAGAATGTTTATATTGATATCGGTATTTTGTAAGCGTCACTCTGAGAGGCTGATAAGGTTTGTCGATTCGGAGGAAGAAGGAGATTTACTAAAGACAGGTCATACGTTTTGTGGAGATTATAGTAGTCTTTCGTGTTTATTGCTAGGTTTTGTGTCTGGAGCTGTTTTACATGATATACACGTGATATATTAAAAATATGAGCACGTGCCTAATTATGCATTTATGGTTAATCTTATATAGTGACGAGTACATGAGGGACTTCTGTCGTATGAGAATTAAAGTAATACAACCAGACCAGGCTTCGGCAACGTCCCAGTGCACACGAGCTGGTGTGAAGAATACCAATTACAACATTCGTACGAATAAAGCAGAGTGTGGAGTGACCATCTTCCATACCAGCTGGGACACTCCAGTCGTGTTGAACATAAGCGGAGCTCCGGACAACATCATCAAATCAGGATACCGCTGGGGTGTAATACAGCTTCAGACAGATCAACAATTTTTCCATGAAGTGTGGAGTAAAGTTGAGGGAGAAAAAATCGAGGTTATGACGTCCTTAACTACATATTGTTTATTTAATGTCCCAATTATCAGTTAATTCTTTCAATTTTTTCAGGTGCAGTCAAAATGAATGACATTAGTACTATAGATAAACTTACCACAGTAGAATATATTTTGCATTTCTGTTTTTTCTTTTCTGAATCAATGGCTCATATGTGTGTTTCCACTATACGAACAGTAATTACATTTATATTTTAAAGATAAAATTCCAGGTATCTAGACTTCATTCTTATAAACTTTCTGGGACTCAACTTTTACAATTAACGTATCTATGAACGTGATTCGATTACCTCCGTACAGGTATCAATTCTGCAAGTACGTAGAAGCTTTAATCTTCTCTAATGATCGTGTGCTACTAATAAGTACATGTCATTGTAATACTACTGTCAGTGGTCTGTCAACGAAATCATTTATCAAAGATATTAAGTATTTAAGTTTACACATTTTTTGCTAACGTAGTTGAATTTGAGATAATTGACAAAAACAGAATGCCACTAATTGCATTTTGTGGATTTCTTCACTTCACTTCTATCACTTCCTAGAGTAGATTTTGTTGTTGAAACAGGCATGTAGCAATTATCAAACACGAGGACATCCTTTGTTTAACAATGTCGGTAAACACTCATTTCTGTCCTTTTTCTAGCGTACGACGGTGATAGCTGACACTTTTCTTTGGCTACATATATTTTGGATGTTAACATTTTGTCTTGTCGCAATTCGTTTCCTTTCCCATTTCGATTTCGTTTAAAAGGATTCACACTGTTTAATATTTTCGTTTTGCTTTATGGTTGTGCTTGGTATTTATCCATGAATATGAAAGTATGATGAGCACTAGAACGTTGAGAATAGACAACAGACAGGTAATTTGGTTTGACGTAACGTCGATATTTGATACTAACAGGAACTCTAAAGTTTATTAATGTAAATAAGAACATTACATATCATGCTAATTCCTTGCCATTATAAAAATACTTTTTTTACTTTGTTCATTTTTTCTTTACTTAAAGGTAGAATTTTCATTTTCATTTATTTATTTGTAAACGATATTGTTGGATGGAAAATGAATACCGGGTTTCAGGACATATGTCAATTACACACCATGTTTACTATTTTCAGTTTTACATTCATGATGACGATATCGATATAATGGGCAAATCATGTTACTCATCAAACGACCCACACATGAAAACTTTCGACGGCAGGTAAGTCATTCTACGGACGGCCAAACACAGATAATATGATTTTTTGTGTGAATTTTTGAAACGGGTTTTCTTTTACTACCTTTCCATTAGGCCAACTACGAACTGAAAATGGGAACAATTCCCAGAAATCGGAAATTAAGATATTTCCAGGCCGTAATATGAAAATTCAGGATGAAAATGGCATTTCCCATTCCATGCTCATTCTCGAAAAAAATCTTGACTTTATTACATTTGTCATCTTAAGATCATCACAAGATCAGATACGATTTCATTATCACTTGATGACATCACAGTGGGCTTCATTACACGAATGGGATAACGGCATTGGTAATTTCGCTGATTGGCACAGCGCATATGACATCGCTGTATTTCACTCATCCACGATACTCAAAGGGTTGCAATCACTTTCGCTCTGTGCACCCCTGGAACATGTCATGACAATATTGAAGGTTCAATGTGCGACACGAAAACCTTGTGTGGTCTTTTTGATGTACACCAAACGAATCTCGAAGTCACATAACGGTATATTGTAATATCATCGAAGTTTGGTGTTGCTCCTTTTGTATCAGCAGGTGATTGGTAGTATTTTTTCCTTGAACCAACCAAATTACTTCGCTTGTACCTTCAATTTTGCCATGAAATCTCTCAGGGATGCAGAGAGCTAAAATGATCGTAGCCCCTGGAGTATCGATAATTTTACTGTCACTATATGTATGTCTAATTCGTGAACATAGAATAAGCGAAATAGACACAAAACATGAAATGTGGTTTTTTTTTCAAATAATCACAGATTTAATTGATTCTTTTTAATGTTTTAATGTTTTACGGAACATTGTTATTTATAAGATATTCCCGAAAAGGTTATCCTTCGAAATCAACTTTTACAGTTCTATCTTAAAATGTCACAATTTCGTCGTGACATTTGTGCGAAGTTAAATGATAATTAGCTATAACACAACTACTGTTGAACATAATGAATAGGACTACTACATCTTGTTTTGGATAACATTTAACAAAATCCATTTTAGGTCAAAGATACATGGATGCATTGAGCGTTTCTATCAAATTAACGATCAGCTTTCTTTTTAAGGCATTACGAGTTACATGAAACAGGGGAGTATGTCCTGTATAAACACGATAATCTCTCAGTGGCGGTGAGTATTCAATAAAGATATTTCAAATGTCTTCCAAATATTTTGAAAATTCAAAATCTAAATAAATAAATATTCAATTCTACATCATTAGTACCGTCTGTTTGGTTCTTCGAGCCAATCTAGCATAAGGTTATCAACTGCTAAAAAGAATAACAGAAACCTTATCTTGATAAACCAAAGATATGATAAATTTTCTTTTCTTCCAGATTCATGCATACTTCCAGCCATGTGATTGGGGTAAACGGAATGCCAAATGTAACTGTGGAATAGCTATACGCAATAGCAATGCTGTCTTCAGGGCCAACTTCTGTAAACATGCCAGTGGGTACAACAGAATTATCGAATTCATTGGCTGTGACAATGATGCTATGACGATCGAGGGCTTTCAATCAAAGCAAAGATTTGGGTCTGGTTACAAGGTAACCACAGTTCACTGTCACTGTCTAAGAAGAAAATAGACGAATGAAAGCGTTCTATATAAGATATCGCTAGTGTGATAAATTCCTGTAAATCTCTGTTTCTCTAACGTATACAACCCCGTAGATCAATATTTAATGTCGATGATGATTTACAATATTTATTTGGGAGAGAATTGTAATACCAGATTATTTGAACAAGGAATTATATATTACTAGTTAGTAAAGGTTATGCCAAAAGCAGTAAAATCTAAAATGTCGTAGTTCGATATGTTGGTATGTTGATAAAATTGTGCAGCAGAAAGAATACAAAGTCACAAGTCAAAATGTTGATATGTGTTTTTTAATTATAATTGCCGATCGTGCATGAAGCTTTTTTAAATTTTAGATTATTCTTCCGACGGGCACAATGGTGACTTTCACTTATGGTTCTTACGGATCCTCTGTTATGCTTATTCATTTTATCTACGTTAAACCGTCGTTGTTGGACTGGAAAGAATCTCGAGGGCTGTGTGGTTATATGGACGGAGCAACAGCGAACGACTTTAAGAAGAGAGACGAATCAGAAGTTCAAGATGTGGACGACTTCAGCAACAGTTGGAAGTAAATATTGATTATGTTTCTACACTTAAGCGAGAGAAGTTACACTAAATTTCTTATCGAAAATGATTACCAAACAATGACATTCATTTAATCAAATATCGCCACAGGTCATTCTTATGACCCTAACACATAAAAATTACGGTTATAGAAATACATTCCAGTACACTGTAGTTTTAATATTACACATCCAGGAACGACTGCTACACATCCAGGAACTACTACTACACAATACAGTGTAGTTGTATTACACATCCAGGAACGACTACTACACAATACAATGTAGTTGTATTATTAAACATCCAGGAACTACTACTACACAATACAAAGTAGTTATATTACACATCCAGGAACGACTACTACACAATACAATGTAGTTATAATATTACACATCCAGGAACGACTACTACACAATACAATGTAGTTATAATGTTATTATTATTTCGTACCTACCCCGTTAATGACGATATTATATCCTTCATTTCGTACCTACCCCGTTAATGACGATATTATATCCCTCATTTTGTACCTACCCCGTTAATGACGATATTATATCCCTCATTTTGTACCTACCCCGTTAATGACGATATTATATCCCTCATTTTGTACCTACCCCGTTAATGACGATATTATATCCCTCATTTTGTACATACCCCGTTTAATGACGATATTATATCCTTCATTTTGTACCTACCCCGTTAATGACGATATTATATCCCTCATTTCGTACCTACCCCGTTAATGACGATATTATATCCCTCATTTTGTACCTACCCCGTTTAATGACGATATTATATCCTTCATTTTGTACCTACCCCGTTGATGACGATATTATATCCCTCATTTTGTACCTACCCCGTTAATGACGATATTATATCCCTCATTTTGTACCTACCCCGTTAATGACGATATTATATCCCTCATTTTGTACCTACCCCGTTAATGACGATATTATATCCCTCATTTTGTTAATGACGATATTATATCCCCGTTAATGACGATATTATATCCCTCATTTTGTACCTACCCCGTTAATGACGATATTATATCCCTCATTTTGTACCTACCCCGTTAATGACGATATTATATCCCTCATTTTGTACATACCCCGTTAATGACGATATTATATCCCTCATTTTGTACCTACCCCGTTAATGACGATATTATATCCCTCATTTTGTACCTACCCCGTTAATGACAACATTTCTTGTCCATGATTTCTTCAGAATTGTGTACGAGAGTTCTGAGTCAATGTTTATCAATCCGTTGGAAATACAGCCACCAGCTTCTTCAACAATGGTCCGTGAATATTGCACCTGCCCTGACGAATACACTTTTAACGATCAGATGGGTGCTTCGTGTTCGGCTTCCCCAGTAGAGCTCTGTTCGTCTTCCAATACCACCATTAACGGCTATCTCCACACGTGCAGGACATCATTGACAAAACGTGATACAGAAGAAGAAATGGTTTATTTTCCTTGGTACACTAATTTGGACGATGGTGATGATACAAGTTTGGTAAATTATTTTTCACAAAACTTTTACATGAGAAAGTAGATGTAGTCATTCCGTTCATTATAAGGATATTCGTTCTGTGTACCTATTATCTGTAACCGTTTCGGTCAATAGTTTTTTTTTAATTCATCAATTCATGATTAGAACATGGGACATTCTCAGGACACGGACTATCCTATTTCATCACCACCTTTATCGGGTTAAAATTATGCTTTCAAGACTTGAAGATATCTAGGAGAGGCGTTCACTTTCAAAATGTTTGATATCTTTGTGCTATTGAAGCTTTGCGTTTAAACGATAATCTCTTTTAAACCATTGCTTTAAGGACTCTGATTGGTCTGGTAACTGGACAGAGAATTCAGCCGCAGAAGCCTGCAGAAAATACCTCCGTGCTAATCCACTAATTCAGAAATGTGAAGAAGTAGTACCAGGTTTTGACAGTGAGGACTACGTGCCCGACTGTACACAAGATATCAAGGTACAACTATTATATCTATGATCGAGATTTGGCATTATCGACATGTACGACTTTAAGTACCATTAGTAGATTCAGATAGATTGAAAAGAGGGTAGAAATGTATTTAGGCATTTTGTGTTTTTCGCCACCCTTTTTGCTATGATCTTAAGGGCCAGTCACACCTACACGTCCTAGCATGGCATTGGTACTTGTTAGGAACTCGATAAGGACGTAATAGAATTTATCTTTGAACGCCAAGCAACGGCGACTGCTTTGACCTGTTCGTGCGAACGCGCTCTCACTAGAACGGGGTAAGGACTTCTTGTGAACTGTAGGTTGAACGTCCATGACCTATTGACAATACAAAGATACCCGGGAGCAACGTTGTAAGGACGGAATATGCATTGGAACTGCGCGTCTCCGCTACGCCCATTGCGTCTATTGCGTTCGTATCCAGGACCTGTTGCGACCTCAATGCGTTGCTACAACGATGTACTAGAGTCCTTCACAGATATATTCCCGTCCTTCCACGTCAGCATTACGTCTATTAAGTCCGTACCACTTGTGAGAAGATCATGCTACGTTGCACAGAGTCAATGGAAAGACAAAAGGAATATTAATACAACTGGGATTTTAAACTGTTTTCAGCTGCTCTGAATCATTTGTCCGTGAACTAGGGGAACTAGCAGCGGACTAAGCATCAGAGTGCTCTTGTTGGGATGGTGTTGAGGGTGAACCGCCCCTGTCCTAGTTACTTGTTTTTTTTCAGTCATGTCTATACTTCTGTAGATAGTGTGAAGACTTGTTTTGGATCTGCTATATATACAACGCTGTGCATCAGGCTGTTACGTCACATAGACGTAACAACTTCAAAGACGTCGTGGTTTGACGTAACAAGAACGCTTAGAGAACAACTTAATGACAGGATGGAATGCTTGTGGACTTCCTAAGGACGGGATAGAACTTCACAAGGACCCAGTATGGGTTACCGGCATCCCTGATTCCGCATAGAATCTAGAGTTCTTGCCACTTCCTAACCAGATTTTGAGAACTTCAGGAACGCCACATGAACTTCAGGCGAGGACATGCAGGTGTGACAGGGTCATTAGCTGATAAGGTTCAGTTCGCCCCCACAGTTCAGTAAACGTCATTTATAGAAATACATTTTGCTTTCAGTTGTGTTCCAAGATTACAAAGCAGCTCATCACTCTGTGGGCTATTAAACCCAAATTAGAGAATACTATCAGCGTGTCTACATACACATATATATATATTCAACAAAAAAAGTCGATAAAGATGAACATTTTCTAAAATAAAAAAAAAAAAAATTGTTCATGTGTTCATTATATTTATTTTTTCCATAGTTCATGGGATCTACTTTGTTCATGGAGTCAACACTGTCCTTACTACAAACAGCGTGTGTTGCTGAAGCAGTGCGTTTAGAAAATCTCACACGGGACGATAGCGGTAGTGGCACCACCCTCCTGGACGAGATTTTAGCCTTGAGTTGTACCAACAATTGCTCCAATGCAGGATCATGTATAAGCGGTATATCCATTACAGAAACTCATTTAAGGAGGCTATTGATAACGTAAACTTCAGAAATTCATATATTGGTCTAGTTGCTGACCTTTTTAAAGTAAGATGATATGTCATATATTTATATATATTATTCTCAGAATGATTCTAAATGTCTTTGTGATTGCTGTAACCTTAGAATATCACATGTGTGTAAAATATACAAAATGATATAACTCAGTGACGCAAGACCAATTGCGTAACATTGTTTCCATAACAACTTAAAGGTACCTGTCTATGTGAAACCAGCTATGAAGGGGATGACTGTTCGTTACATGGAAGTGACACGCCCTTCCTCTCCCAGGAAACAAATATGGGTTTATGCAATTCATATCTAGACACTTGCTCCACATACGTCATAACAGGGGAATATTTTATGCGGGCGCAACTTACGTGCAGAGCCAGTTCATTCAAGGTAGGGAGTAACATTGCTTTGTATTTTACTGGCAAATTAAGAAATCTGGATCGGGGACCTCATGGAAGAATGTAATGAAAATGTAATGATATCATTTATTTTTCGAGAACAATGTTTATAACCTATATGTTCTGAGATTTTCGTGTATTTCTCCAAAAAACATCGATATCCCCGATAATTTGAGCTACTAATTCGTCTGTAGCGACTTGATTCAAGTCAATTGGCGATGTGTTCTCCACCTAGTAGACGTTGTTTTTCTTACATTGTAACTGGCAACCTTTTCAAAGCAGTCCACCGTCGCCATAAGTGACCCACAGAAGAGCTAAGGAATGAAAAGCACTAAATAAGATTTTTCAGTTCTATAATATACTTTCAGATGATTGTTGATTAAATGAAATTATATACGAGCTCATGAAACGTTAATAGTATCTTAAAGACGAAAATATTTTCTCGTTAAAAAGATAACATTTACAGCAGAAAGAGAAAACAGATAAATCTACCAGTTCGAGGAACGCATTTTTTGCCGGCATTAAATTTTCAAATCATGACATATCTCATGACTGGCTGTTTGAAAATGTTGCAGTCTATCTCATCAGAGAAAAAAACCCGTCTACATCATGTAGAAAACATCGTTACTTGACACGAAAGTTGAGAAAGTATGTCATCAAGCCAGTTATAAATTAATAACGTCATTATCTCCCATTATATATCATTGTTTACATTACGTCATAATGTTGTTACCAAGACATTTAAGAACTGGCCAGAAGATAGCCGAGACACGGCTTGAAAACGTTAGCGATAATCAAGTTTATTTGCCTTGTTGGCCTTTTATGTTTACATATTTAAACGATACACAATGTTCTCATCTGATTGAACTGTATATATATAAATATATATGTGTGTATGTGTATTCAAATTTGCCTATACAAACCAAACCATCTGCGATTAAATACCGTATGGAAATATCGAAAATCAATCCCAAAAGAAACTTTCAAATCAATGTTTTGGAAATGATGACACCATGTGGAGATTTGAATGTATTAATAAAATGCTGATCTGATTATACATGTAATTTATAAATCAATGATTCAAACATTGTTTTCTGTAGTAGGTCCCTGAGCCTCATGTCGTTTGTTGCAGGTGAACGGTTCGTCTTTAGAAATGGTAGGAGAGATATTGACTTTTCCAGGAGTGTATGTGAACCCGTTCATTGGTATCTGCGAAATTCCAAATAACCTAATTTCCCGAAAACGTCGCTCTGATGATCAGATGCCGACCACCCGGAAACGTCGCTCCATCTCTGATGGTCAGCTGCCGACTGGCTACAACATCAGCCTCTCTAACGACGGAACGACCTTCAGCACTGAGGTCACTTTCATCAGCTTTGATGCCAACTGCTACGAATGCAACATAACTACTATGACGTGTACAGAAAAGGTAGTGTAAAACACATAAAAATCTTTAAAAGCAGCTGTAGCATTGTTTCTTAAATCTACATCTATATTTGGGAAGATGATTTGTAGTAAATTAACAGCAGGTTTCTGTGCGTAGGAAAGCCTAGAAAGGTCAAATTTCGAAGGGAAAAATATAAAATCGCCTTCAAAAGTCGCAATAATGTGAAAATTTCGTAATAACGCCTTGAAAAGTCTTAATAACGCGAAAAAGTCGTAATAACGCCTTTCAAAAGTACGAAGTATGAAGAGTTAAAGAAACGCATCCTTTGAAGAAGAGAAAATTTGGAAATCGATTATAGAAACAAATCATTTGTTAATTCCTGTGATTTAGAAAACAGAAAAAGTAAAAGAGGTCGTTATTCGTTTGAAACACGGTGATTTAGTCTACATGTGTTTACAGATTAATACCTAATCTAGTGTCAATTAGACATCTTTGAATCTTACATAAGGTAGAAACTGTTGGTGAATCTATGTTAGATGAACAGTTACATACCGTCAATTGTTTACTTACACACTATGCATTCAGGCTTCTAACTATTAATGTATTTGTTCTTCGAAACGAGATTTGAGTTCCATTCACTCTCAATACATATCATATTTTGATGTAGCCTGCCTGTAACCGAATCGTACAAGATACAACTCTCTCAACGGTCGCCGACACTTCTGGTAAGTTTACCTCTGCTGTTATATATGTTATAGCGTGTAATTCTAATTGCAATTGATCTGACTGAATTACCAAACCCTAGAATACAGGTGGCATGTTATTTTAGCAAGAGCAGTGGACACTTTGTGGCATTGCATGTGGAAATGCCAAGTGGTTCATATAGAGCCTTGGACAGCTGGCTCGCTGAAGTCTCTTCATAGAACGAATGTGAACTTCCGACTTATCCTGACATATAAAACATACTTTCAGCCATTCAAGTGGAAATAAAAAAAAACATTCTAAATGGTTAACAAAGTTCAAATAAACGTAACAAACTTTAACATTTACAAGTTCAAAGCCGTATGTTTTGTCTTGCTTTGTAAATAGTGAACAACCCTTTCTACACCCTTATTGCTCTGAACGGACAGCCCGTATGTTGTTCAGTCTTGTAACTTTCAGCTTGCTTTTTTGCGGGGCGATACACCGAACAAACAAGCAAACAAATCTAATTATGTGTAGATGTTTGGCATTGTCTACAAAACTGTGCTCACTATGAAGAGTATGTTTGACATTTAACATTTGTGACATTGCTCTACTGTATTTCCATACACTTCAAGACTGTAACCAGTGACCAGTTAGCATTGCATTTCCATCAATGTCCAGTAATATTAGGCCTGCAGTACAAAAACGTTACTTTATAACGAATGTGACGAGTTAGCATTACTCTTCAGTGAATTTATGCTTACACTACAAAAATGTAAGTTGATAACAGTTGTGATGATTAGCATTACTCTCCAGTGATATTAAGCCTACACTACAAAAACGTTACTTTATAACGACTGTGACGAGTTAGCATTACTCTTCAGTGATATTAGGCCTACACTACAAAAACGTTACTTTATAACGACTGTGACGAGTTAGCATTACTCTTCAGTGATATTAGGCCTACACTACAAAAATGTTACTTTATAACGACTGTGACGAGTTAGCATTACTCTTCAGTGATATTAGGCCTACACTACAAAAACGTTACTTTATAACGACTGTGACGAGTTAGCATTACTCTTCAGTGATATTAGGCCTACACTACAAAAACGTTACTTTATAACGACTGTGACGAGTTAGCATTACTCTTCAGTGATATTAGGCCTACACTACAAAAACGTTACTTTATAACGACTGTGACGAGTTAGCATTACTCTTCAGTGATATTAGGCCTACACTACAAAAACGTTACTTTATAACGACTGTGACGAATTAGCATTACTCTTCAGTGATATTAAGCCTACACCACAAAAACGTTACTTTATAACCACTGTGACGAGTTAGCATTACTCTTCAGTGATATTAGGCCTACACTACAAAAACGTTACTTTATAACGACTGTGACGAGTTAGCATTACTCTTCAGTGATATTAGGCCTACACTACTAAAACGTTACTTTATAACGACTGTGACGAGTTAGCATTAATCTTCAGTGATATTAAGCCTACACCACAAAAACGTTACTTTATAACGACTGTGACGAGTTAGCATTACTCTTCAGTGATATTAGGCCTACACTACAAAAATGTTACTTTATAACGACTGTGACGAGTTAGCATTACTCTTCAGTGATATTAGGCCTACACTACAAAAACGTTACTTTATAACGACTGTGACGAGTAAGCATTACTCTTCAGTGATATTAGGCCTACACTACAAAAACGTTACTTTATAACGACTGTGACGAGTTAGCATTACTCTTCAGTGATATTAGGCCTACACTACAAAAACGTTACTTTATAACGACTGTGACGAGTTAGCATTACTCTTCAGTGATATTAGGCCTACACTACAAAAACGTTACTTTATAACGACTGTGACGAGTTAGCATTACTCTTCAGTGATATTAGGCCTACACTACAAAAACGTTACTTTATAACGACTGTGACGAGTTAGCATTACTCTTCAGTGATATTAGGCCTACACTACAAAAACGTTACTTTATAACGACTGTGACGAGTTAGCATTACTCTTCAGTGATATTAGGCCGACACTACAAAAATGTTACTTTATAACGACTGTGACGAGTTAGCATTACTCTTCAGTGATATTAGGCCTACACTACAAAAACGTTACTTTATAACGACTGTGACGAGTTAGCATTACTCTTCAGTGAAATTAAAGTTCAGTAACTTTATAATGATTGTGTTGCGATTACATTACTTAACATTGTATATTAGATATTTCAGGTTACCTATTTAAATGTTCGTTTTTATGTTGTTTTGGATAACTTAATAAACTTTCCTTAAAATTTCAGAAACTGGCGTTGTCATAGGTGTGGTTGTTATCATCTTGATAGTCCCCGTCATTGTCGTCGCTGTTTGCTGCATAAAGAAACATTGCTTTACGTACGTACTATATAGACATATAAAAGTATAATAAAGTGTTGTTATTTTGTCGATCAAACACGAAACAAAACCCTAGCAATATCATATTGTTTTCACGGTGCTTAGTATAAGCCAAAGATTAGTGTTTGCATATAAATATATCAGATTAATACTTCCTTATGTTATACATTTGTATTAAATCCTAGATGTTTATATCCAAACCTTTTTGTAGGAAAAAGATCACCGAAGAACACCCTCAAAATCTCGAGATGGACGATACCGACCCGAGCAGCCTTTTTCAGAATTCATCAGTAATCATTGGCCAAGCCCCACGAACTCATAAGTATGAAGACGTTGAACTAATAGACATTTGAGCCTAAATGAATATATTCATGTACTCAAAAGAGCAACATATATATCGTAATTATATTTGGTATATATGATAAAGTTTACACAATATCGATGATGATGTACAATATTCATACTTGCAAAATTCCTCCAAAGTAATTTTCATTACTTGTATAGTACATTGCTCTTGCGTTACACGGGTTTGTTTTAGACGTGTGGAATTTACTTATGCTATTTATCTCTCATTTATAGGTTTTTTGTTATAATGTAATAACACCAGGCATACTTTACCGCTGATCGCTTAACACATGGTATGGGAGGTAACTCTCCGATCATCATCATATCTGCAAAACTCGAAATGTAATTAAGCAAAATTTGTGAAAAAAAGATCACCAATGTTTATCAAGAAGAGTTGCTCTTTTAATAGGCCTATTAAAGAATAAATTGTGGATTTGAATACAAGAAATAGCTTTAATAACTGCAGGGTAACAGCAAATCTGTTTAAACTGCACTATGATAAGGTAACTGGGAAAAACGTTGGGGAAGGTGTTTATTTCGTCCCTCCCCTGAAAAATTTTAAAAGTTTGACCATCATCATTTTCAATTTAATGAAGAGTAGGTATTGTATATGATACATGTATACATATGCGACAAATCTATTTTTCCATTTTTGTTGCTTCTATATCTGATATTTTTCATCTTTATTAAAACGAGGGTAAATCTAAGAATGAACTGTTTGTTATATTGCCACAAAGGATTACACTGTGTACGTCACATAAATATTTATGTGAGTTCAATATAAAATTATTATCCATGTCCATTGAGTTACAGTTTTCAAATTTACAAAAGACACGCAAATCAAACGCACTTTTTAATTGAACGGTGTAAGTAGTTAAGTAGGTCAAAATACTGGAGACGTGGAGATAGGTTTCTCCTCAAATTCAATATATATTCACAATGGGGACTAAAAGCTTAAAGAAGTGCATCGTCACAATTTCAAATCATCTTTGTGAATATTAAACAGCAATTTACTTTTAAGTGACAGTTCTTCTTTCCAATAGTCACCATGGTAAAATATTTACATAAATGTTGCGGGAATTTGTTTTAGCAATTTACTTTCAAGTGAAAGTTTTGCTTTCCAATAATTACCGTGGTAAAATATTTCCATAAATTGTGATGAATTACACACATCAAACGACTTTTATTAAACGTTTCCAAATATTTATTGCTTGAATACATAGCAGTTTGTATGAAACATTTACACGTTAGGTGTACTTATATTATGGTTTATATTTATATAAAATACTTGCTATGTGAGTATAATAAATCGATGTATTTCACATAATATGCTAGACTGTACAATGCTTACAGGAGTTCGATCATTTCCGTGATCATATCTGAGTTTAATCTTACATAAAATTATTCATTGATAACGTATTTTTGATGCCATGTTAACTACATACAAGATTAAAAGAAACCCACAATTTTATAAACACTTAATGATATGTGGTCATGCTTGAGCTATTAGCAACCTTAAATGCATAAAAATAAACCGTACTAATCCATGACATCCATAAAATCTTACTTACTACATTGTTAACAGCAATAGGATACAAACAAACTCAAATT